GAGAAGCAGACTCCCCGTGGAGCTGGGATCCCGATGCGGGACTCGATCCCGGGACTCCGAGATCATGACCTGAGCTGAAAGCAGTCGTCCAACCAACTGAGCCACCCAGGCGTCCCTCATGTACAGATTTTTATATGTGTCTGTACATTAATTTTTTATTTCTCTCTGGTAAATGTCTAGGAGTACAGTGGCTGGAGTGTATAGTAAGTATATGTTTAGTTCTTTAAGGAACTGCCAAACTCCAGAGTGGCTGTGCCATTTTATATTCCCAGCAGAAATGTGTGAGAATTCCAGTTTCTCTGCACCCTTGCCAGCTTTTGACATTGCCACTATTTTTTTTTTCTTAAAAGTGGGATGTTCTGTTTGGACAAAATTTCCTAAGTGAAAAAGCAGTATTTATTACTAATGTATAGGTGAAAGTGGCACAGTGGGATATAAGATGACCATGAAATTGTCAGGTCTCTCATAGCTGCACTAGAGCAAAATCTCATCAATTCAGACAACTCTGATGCAAAATTGGGATACTTATATATAATTCTTATTGAGTTAAAAGTTCAAATTTAGCAAGATAATTCGGGACTTTTTGATGTAGGTTTGATGACCTATTACCTATAAATTGCATTTGCATATTGAATAAAACTGGCAAAATAAAATAACATAAAGAATAACACCTTGAAAAGTATATAGTGTCATAAAAATAAAAATATTAATTCACCTTTCTTTCATTAACTTTTTCAGATTTTAAAAATTGAGATGCAACTGGGGTGGCTGGGTGGCTCAGTGGGTTGGGCCTCTGCCTTCACCTCAGGTCATGATCTCCAGGTCCTGGGATCAAGCCTGCATGGGGCTCTCTGCTCAGCAGGGAGCCTGCTTCCCCCGCCTCTCTCTGCCTGCCTCTCTGCCTACTTGATCTCTGTCTGTCAAATAAATAAATAAAATCTTTAAGAAAAAAATTGAGATGCAATGATATAACATATTATTAGTTTTATGTGTAGAACATAATGTACATAATATTATGTACAATATATACATATATACATATATTGTATATACATGTATGTACAATATATGTATATATACATGTATATGCAATATATACATATATATACATATATATGTGTGTGTGTATATATATACATATATATATTCACATACACATTGTTAAAGGATCACAACAATAAGACTAGTTAACATCCATTACCACACAGTTACAATTATTTTTCTGGTGATTAGAAAGGTCTACCTCTTTTTTAAAAATTTTTTTAGTTTTTTATTAACATATAATGTATTATTAGCCCCAGGGGTACAGGTCTGTGAATCGCCAGGTTTACACACTTCACAGACCCATTAAGGTCTACCTCTTAGCCTTTCAAATATACAATCCTGTATTATTAACTACAGTCCCCACGCTGTACATTACAACTGCAGAACTTAATGTGTAACCTGAGGTTTTACTTTTTGACTACTAAACCTTTGCAACCACTCCTCATCCCCTGCCCCTGGAAATAAATCTTTTCTGTTTCTATGAGTTTGGTTTTTTGTTTTAGATTCCACATGTAAGTGAGAGCACATGATATTTCTCTCCTCTGAATGGATAATACCAAATAACTCATCTTCAAGTTCACAGATTCTCTGCTCTACTTGATCAAGTTCATTTGACAATCTCTCTATTGTGGATTTTTTCTGTTTCATTCATTGTATTCTTCAGCTCTAGAATGTGTTCAACTTTTTATTTTATTTTATTTTTAAAGATTGTATTTATTTATTTGACAGAGAGATCACAAGTAGGCAGAGAGGCAGGCAGAGAGAGAGAGGGAAGCAGGTTCCCTGCCGAGGAGAGAGCCCAATGTGGGGCTCGATCCCAGGACCCTGAGATCATGACCTGAGCGGAAGGCAGAGGCTTCAACCCACTGAGCCACCCAGGTGCCCTATGTTCAACTTTAAAAAAAAAAATCTATTTCTCTGCTGAAATCCTAGTTCATGCATTGTTTTCCTGATTTAACTGAATTGTCTGTCTGTGTTCTCTGGTAGCTTGCTGAGTTTTAAAACATTATTTTGAATTGTCAGACAATTCTGAGACCTTTCTACAGGATTGATTACTGGAAAATTATTGTTTCTTTGGTGGTATCCTATTTCCATGATTTTTGTGTGTGTTCTCTGGAGTCTTACATTGCTGGTTTTGCATTTAACGAAGACACCTCCTCCAGTCTATACCAACTGGCTTCAGGAGAGAAATACCTTCACCAGTCACTTTGGTTAAGGATTCTGAGGCTTTCTTAGACCTGGTCTATGGATGTGCCCATTCCATACCTTTTGTTCCCTCTTGGGGAAAGTTCTTAAGATATATATGCCTTCTCTTGATCCCACAAAGCCAGGTGAAATGCTGAGAGCCTCCCATTTGTTTTCCCTAGGACAGTGCTCTGAAATGCTCAAATCTATGAGTCTTCTATCAGTCTCACAGGGTTGAGATGGCTTTCTGCATGTGCTCACTAGCCATCTGCAAAGGCTCGCACTCACCCCAGGGGAGCACATACTGGCAGCCAGCCATGTTCAGGGCAGAGTGAGGTGTGCAGAGCATTTGCGGTGGGGGTGGGGGGGCGGCGGTGGTGGTAGTGTCTGCGGGCCAGTTGGAAAGGATGTCCACAGATGAGGTGTTCCCAGCAGTTTATGGGCAGGCTTTCTGACAGGGTCTGCAAAGGGTTAGTGAGATGAACTGCAGAGTGGTTGGTAGCATCCCTTTGATGAGTTGTTAGCCCTGCTTTCTGTGCTCCCAGGCTCTCTCAATAGTACATGGGGCGCCTGGATGGCTCAGTGGGTTAAGCTTCTGCCTTCACCCCAGGTCATGATCTTGGGGTCCTGGGATCAAGCCCCGCGTCGGGCTCTCTGCTCAGCGGGGGGCCTGCTTCCCCCCCCACCCCCGCCTGCCTCTCTCCCTACTTGTGATCTCTCTCTGTCAAACAAACAAATAAATAAATAAATCTTAAAACTTGGGTATCAGTCAGGGGTCATCCTGTAATGATCTTTTTTTTTTTTTAAGATTTTATTTATTTATTTGACAGAGAGAGATCACAAGTAGGCAGAGAAGCCGGCAGAGAGAGAGGAAGAAGCAGGCTCGCTGCTGAGCAGAGAGCCCGATGCGGGGCTCGATCCCAGGACCCTGGGATCATGACCTGAGCCAAAGGCAGAGGCTTTAACCCACTGAGCCACCCAGGCGCCCCCTGTAATGATCTTTTACAATGTAAAAGATTTTTCTTTTCTCCAAACTATACTGGGAATTCTTACATCATTTTTAATGGTGACATTTTGTTTTATTATATGGAAGTATCATAATTTATTCAATCTCTTATGTATCTTCAGGTTGTTTACAATTTTTAGTATTATAGATATTCTTGGAATATGTTCTCTTCTGAAAGCATCTTTCCCCAATTGTGCAATTATACTGTAAAGATAAATTCCAAGAAGTGGAATTATTAATTTAAAGATAATGCACACTATACCCTTTGATACCTATAGACAAATTCCTCTCCAGAAATGGTGTACCTGTATTTTTTCCCACCAACTGCTAGTTTTTCCATTCCCTTACTGACACTGGGTTTAATTAATGTTTCACTGTTGCTCACCTGGATCACTAAGAAAGCAACAATTTAAGGATGGTTTTATTTGATTTTGAATGGCTGTTCCATATATAAAACATAGCTCATAGGAAATTACAATGTAAGAAAAACTAGGAGAAACACATGAGCCCAGAAGCTTGAGCCTGGTTTCCTCCATATTTCTCCCTATGTGCCTTTTCGCTTTGCTGAATTTTATCTGTATCTTCCATTGTCATAAACTCTAACCATGTATTAAAAAAAGAAGAAAAATGAAAACATGATCCAAATGAAGAAATTTATAAATCAACTAAGATACTAAAAAAGACATTATTATTGAAGACGAAAAAAGATATTGTGAATATATCTCCTCCTCCCAAATCCATCTATAATCTCAAATGAAATCACAATTATGGAGGAAATTTGACAAATGAGTACCTCCTAAAACCCCATTTTTATTAAACAAGATTGTTGAGAAGTGGTGGTGTCAGAAGCCAGCTTCTGTCAATGAACACTCTTGGTCTTCTGTAAGTTGTTAGTCACTTCAGTAAATATTAGTTTTACTTAATTCACTTTATTAAGACCATTTGCAGGATACCTAGCCTGATCAATTTCTTATTGACAAACTTTTCCCATTATTACACCTTACAGAGTTTCTCTAGTGCATGGGATTTCTTTATGTCTATAGATTATACTTTTGCTAAAATTTTAGCACATGAACATTATCTGGAACATTTCTTTTTTATTCACAGACCAATGAATGAAGATTCTCACTGAAGAAGTTCTAGCCACACCATTTTAGATAGCTGCACTGACACATACAGCCTTAGCAACTTGAAAGTTTTGAACTCAATTATAAAGTTGCTTTCTTATGAGAACTCCAATGACCATGAAATATGTTGCTGTTAAATCCCTCTGTCATAGTCAGCATAGCCTGGGCAATACGAGCAACAAATAAATTGCCAAAATATCAGTAGTATAAAACAGCAAATGGTTATTTCTTACTCAAGAAAAACAAAGTCCAACACAGGTCACATAGCCACCTTCTACCAATCCAGCCTCCAAGGTCACCATGGCAAGAGAGATGGCCGGAGGACATCACAAGATGTTTCTAAGGCCATCTTAGTACATCACAAGATGTACTCTGTGGCTTGGCACTCTATCACGTGGACCAGCTCTTAACTGCAAGGGTTTCTGGGAACTGGAGTCTCTGTGTGACCAAGAAATGGAACCAGCGAGATGGACACACAGTCATGCCCATAAAGTATCACTTTCACAGAGCTTCTCCCTGTGTAGAAAAATCTAATGGATTTGAAAACCTGAGAATGGACTTACCACACTGATAACATGGGTTTCATTTCTGAGCACTCTTTTGAGTATCTTTCTAGTGGGTACTCTCTTTAAAAAAAAAAAAAAGCTTACAGATTTTGGCTGGCTTTAAGTCCTCACGGTACCCATCTCAATTATAATTTCCTTCCTGGGCATATCCATTCATGGAAATTTGATCTCCAACTATTGTCATTGCCACACTGTCCATCTGTCAATTATCACTACTCTGCCACTGCAGCATACGACAGTTGCTGGGAGTTCTGTAGAAGCTTTTGAGATCCACAGTAGTTCCCTGGAATGCTCTTAAGAACCCCTTGCTTCAGAGCTGCAGGACGACATCATGGGTGGCAGCGTCCTTGTCCTTTGTTGCCCCAGCCCTCCCAATGACTGAGTAAGCCTCTATCACCAGGAATACACAGACTTGCTTGCTTTCCTCATTGGCCCCTTTGAAAATTACATTGAGAGCGTTTCTGTCCTCTCATGCAGTCTTTGATGAGTAAGAAGGTCTGAGCTATGACTAAAGCCATTGCCGTGCCCACGACATGTATATTGGACCTCACTGGCACGGGCTCGCTGGTGAGCGAGAAGATAAGAGTTACGACTGAAGCCCTTACCGCATTCTTTACACTTATAGGGCCTCTCTCCTGTGTGGACTCTGAGATGTACATGAAGGTCTGAATTCCGACTGAAGCCCTTACCACACTCATCACATTTATATGGTTTCTCTCTGGTGTGGTCTCTTTGATGCAAGTGAAAATACGAGCTGTAACTGAAGCCTTTACCGCACACTTCACATCTGTAAGGCTTTTCCCCCGTGTGAACCCTCTCATGAGTGTGAAGGACAGAACTATATGCAAAAGCCTTTCCGCACACGTTGCATTTATAGGGTTTCTCCCCCGTGTGGACTCTCTGGTGAATGTGAAGGTGTGTGCTTTGGCTGAAGCCCTTTCCACACTCGCCACACCTGAAAGGCTTCTCCCCTGTGTGCAGCCTCCGGTGGACTTGAAGAACAGAGCTTGAACTGAAACATTTGCCACACTCACTGCATTTGTAGGGCTTTTCTCCAGTGTGGACTCTCTGGTGGACAAGAAGATTGGAGCTCTGGTCGAAGCCCTTCCCACACTCTTCACATTTATAGGGCTTTTCCCCTGTGTGTACTCCCTGATGGATGCAAAGAAGGGACCTAAATCCGAACCCCTTCCCACACACATCACATCTGTAGGGCATCTCCCCTGTGTGGACCCGGTGATGGTTGTGAAGAGAGGAGTTGCGCCTGAAGACCTTGCCGCATTCGAGACATTTATAGGGTTTGTCTCCCGAGGGGCCCTTTTGATATCTGGGAAGGGCTGGGTTCTGCTTGCTGCCCTCTGCCCACTCTCGACATTCATAAGCTTTGTCATCTGAGCGAGTTTTAGAATGAACAGTAAGATCTGAGCTCTGACTAAAGTCCTTTCCACACTGGTCACATCTACAAGACTTTTCTCCTATGTGAGTGCTGGGATGAACAGGAGGGTCCACACCATCTACGAAGCCCACACCATGGTTATGACATTTGATAGGTCGTGGTACCACAGGCGCCGCGTTATGTTGTTTGGCTGTTGATTTCATAGCCAAGGGATTCCCACAGTCAGTGGATCTACAAGGTTCCTCCTCTTTACATTCTTGGGAATCATCATGATCACATGATGTCTGACTGACATCGTCGCCACACTGAGCACATATATACAGTCTCTCTTCCACATGAATTCCCTCATATTGTCCTTGAGAATTCTGGGGCTCAGTCATCATGTGGGCTTCCCGCCAAGATTCTGGGGTAAGAGCCTGTGTCATGCCTTTCCCTGCTGCGCCATCTTGATTTTCTAAATTAATGGCATTTATTACATAGTTGTCATGTTCAGAAACCCGAAGAGACTCTCCCGCCCACTCTTCACAGGGGGAAACATCTTCTAAAGATTGGGGACAATCTCCTTGAAGATTCATGACATACTCCTGACTCACAGTTAATTCACTGATCCTTTGTTTCCAAATCTGCCAGCAGTAGAGCACTTCTTGAGAGAGATAACTCAACGCTTTTCCCTGAAGATGTGAAGTGTTGTTTTTAATCCTGTCTCCTATGAGGAGAAAGAGAATTTGGCTAAGAGAACAAGTAAGTCATCCCTCCAGAGGCTTTGAGAAATGAAGTAGGATGGGGTGGCCCCTGTTGATATAGGAAACCATCAGAATCATGGTACTTCTAATACATGAGCTGCCCATTAAAATCAGGTGTTGCAGAGAAATCAAAAGAAATCTTGGGAACAATTTATAAAGAAAGAAATTCACCTCCCTCCTATAAAAGCAGCTGATAAAACATCTTTAATCATTTTTCTACAAAAGGAATGGGGAAGGGTGCCTGGATGGCTCAGGTGATTAAGCAACTGACTCCTGACTTCGACTCAGGTCATGATTTCAGGGTCGTGAGATCGAGGCCCATATCCTCCCTCTATTTCTCCCTCTGCCCCTCCTCCCACTTGCACACATTCTCTCTCAAAGCAAAAAAAAAAAAAAGGTATGGGGAAGACTCTCATATGATTCAAGGTGTGTACGTGTGTATATATGAGACAACAATGGGAGTGCTGGACATGGTGACAGACACAAAGGATCACAAAGACCTTCCAAGATACCATATAAAGTTGCAGAAATAAGCAACAAGTCTTGTCTCACTTTACTGTCACATGAGGTGGGATTATCATGTATGTTTCTGCACAACCTGCCCAACTGTATGTGGTCAGCCTAAAACAGCAATGGGGACTGCTATAGGGATAATATTGTGAAATACAGTGCTGGGGTTGGTGGGGGAGGCATATGTACACCTCTGAGGCAGGCTTAAAGAGACATCCTTTTCTCTGAGCTTCTCTGGATTCCACGAAGAGATGAAGTCCACCAAGATCCTATAATCCACCCAGTAATTTTTTCCTTTTTTTTTCTTTTATAAGTAATCCTTTTTATAAGTAATCTCTACTCCCAATGTGGGGCTTGAGCTCCCGACCTCAAGATCAAGAGTCACAGGCTCTAAGATCCTGAAAATCCATTTCCTTAACATCTCCTCTTTAGATAACTGCAGAATCTCAAACAGCCACAATTAGGAGAATGGAAAATGTGGACCTGTCAATGGCCTGGCTCTACAGAAGCAAGATTGTGCCAAAGGGCCATAAAACATACGGAGATGAGTAGAGGAGGGTGGTCCCTGGCACCCTAAAATGGGCTTCAGAATGGCAGGAACACTATGGTCAGGAGCATCTGGACACGGCTTCTCGTTCAAGGAGTTTCTGAGTCATTTGATTGAAAGTGACGTTAGTGTGTAAGGTGGTGTCAGAGAAAGGGGGAGTTGGAGTTCCCCACAAGAGGCCTAAAGAAGCAGTTCTCCAGTACTTTCAACAGTATCCATAGTAAGGAAAGCACCCGCACCGCAGCCCAGTATGCGCAAATAGACACTGACTTTTAACTAAAGCAGTTTTACCAGCTGGCACTTACCTTCCTAGATGCAACGTACTCTGATAAATTCTTTTGTGTTCTGGTCCATTAATCTATCTTACTTTTTAAAAACTGCTGATCAGGGGGGTGCCTGGGTGGCTCCGTGGGTTAAGCCTCTGCCTTTGGCTCAGGTCATGATCTCAGGGTCCTGAGATGGAGCCCCACATCAGGCTCTCTGCTCAGTGGGGAGCCTGCTTCCCCCACCCCCGCCTCTCTGCCTAAATACTGCCTATCTCTCTCTCTCTCTCTGTGTCAAATAAATAAATAAAATCTTTAAAAAAAAAACACCCTGCTGATCATGATACAGTAACTTGATTTCAGACTCACTGACAGTGTTGAATCCTGCAGACCAGCCATATGTCTATAACCTATAGACATCATGGTACTTAGTTTCACATGGTTATTAAAGGGTCTAGGGGCACCTGGGTGGCTCGGATGGTTAAGTGTCTGACTCTTGATTTAGGTTCGAGTCATATCTCAGGGTTGTGAGATCGATCTCCGCCTTGGGCTCCACACTGAGCCATGAAATCTGCTTAAGTTTCTCTCCCTCTCTCTCTGCTCCTTCCCCCACCTCCGCTCCCACGTGTACACATACATGCTTTCTCTCTTTCTAAAAACAAAACAAAACAGAACACAGGGTCTGCAGCCAGGTTAGAAGCATTTGCAGCCTACTTCTCACAAGCTGTGTGACCATGGGCAAGTTATTTAACTTCTCTGTGCATCAGCTGTTTCCTTTGTAAAAGAAGGAATAGCAACCATGTCATAATCTAAACCAAGGTAATAGATAGATCAGGTACATGGACCTCTGTGACATTAAAATTAGATATTTATCAACAAGAAAGCAAAGCAGCTGACACTTGTATCACACTCACTATACACCAGATCCTGGTTTAGTTCCTTTAATACTAGTTTGCCCAAAACACTGGTTTTTCTGCAGAAGCAACCAAGGAACCAAGGCCCTTGGTAGTGTGTAAACTTTATGAACCTCGTTTTGTGAAACACGGAGCAGATGACAGCCTAAAATGAGAGTAGGCCAGGCTGGTCTCGCCAACTGTACCACCAACCCCATGGGCCTCGGGGTGCAAGCTTGAGGGTTCCCTCACCAACCTCTCACAGGGGGCCATTCGCTCACATTCATCTGCTAAAACTCACTAACTTCGTGGGTCTCCTTGGCATGTGCGTCTCTCCGGTATTCTCACCAGTGGCCAAAGTTTCTCTTTGTGCTCCAGCTGGAACATTCTATCTGGTTTGCAGCTGATTATTTGAGGAAATAGGGCCCGTGGTTTGCAGCTTAGGTACAGAGGCTTGTTGTCCTCACCCACTGAGACAACGTTCCTGAAGTTCTCCAGCATCACATCCTGGTACAGGTTTATCTGGGCCCGGTCCAGTAGTGCCAGCTCCTCCTCCGTGAAGACCACAGCCACGTCCCTGAAGGTCACAGTTTCCTAAAACATCAAGCACACGCCACATGGACCATCTGTAGATGAGCACTGGCGGACGGGCAAAGTTGGAAGCTTTGCAGGTCCTTAAGTGGCTGTCCTTCTGCTCCAAACTCTCCAGCTCAAACCGCACTTTGCAATGCGGGAGCCAGTACTCTCCAAACACACGGAATCTGAGCACTGGCGAGGCTCTGCCACTAGGGGGCACAAGAGAGAGTTTGCAAAGTTTGAGGAGAGAAGGGACTTCTTCCTGGTCTGTTTGCCCCCTGTTCTGGTATCCTCTCTGTAATGCTACGCTCTGCTGGTGGCAGCAGTCCCTTTCCCTAGTGATACCAGAAGTCTGGGTCCCTGGTCGCTAGGCTTCTTTGCTGAGCTCTGAGACGCCAGCCAGCACCTCCTCTTTACATTTCGGCTCCACACCGCCCGTCCTCTAAACTTCCAAGTTTCCATGATTCAATCTCTCTCTCTGGTTCCCTCAGCCAGGCTGGCAGTTACTTCCCAAAGCTGGTGCTTCCAAGATATTGTAGAGTTCTCTTTATCCCCTCAGTTACCCACTGAGTTACCTCTAGGTAGGACTAGATAGGACTAGGTAGGACTCCATACCTAGTCAACACTTCTATTAAGTTCTTCCTGTTCAAGTAGCCAGTGTCCTTTTTGTGTCCTGAACGGACCCTTACTAGTGCAGAAGAAATGAGAAATATAGAAGAAATCCAAAGTTTTGGGTAGGCCAAGTTTTTCTTCTTCTTCTTTTTTTTTTTTTGAAGATTTATTTATTTTTTATTTATTTGACAGAGAGAGATCACAAGTAGGCAGAGAGGCAGGTGGGCCGGGGTCGGGGGGAGAAGCAGGCTCCCTGCTTAGCAGAGAGCCCGATGCGGGGCTCGATCCTAGGACCCTGGGATCATGACCTGAGCCGAAGGCAGTGGCTTAACCCACTGAGCCACCCAAGCACCCCCAAGTTTTTCTTCTTTTCTCCTCCTTGCCTGTGTCCCCGTTAAGCATCTCGAGTTGCACAAAGAATATTCCAGTAAACATCCAGGAACATCTGTCTTTGAGTGCTTATAAAAGCATTTCTATAAAATAAATTCCTAGGGGCACCTGGGTGGCTGAGTGGGTTAAAGCCTCTGCCTTCAGCTCAGGTTATGATCTCAGGGTCCTGGGATTGAGCCCCACATCGGGCTCTCTGCTCAGCAGGGAGCCTGCTTCCCCCCATCTCCCTCTGCCTGCCTCTCTGCCTGCTTGTGATCTCTGTCTCTGTTTGTCAAATAAATAACAAATAAATAAAATCTTTAAAATAAACTCCTAGACCAGAGACTACTGAGTTTCTTGGGTTATGGGTATTTTACACTTTGACTGATATTGTCCAAACCGTCCTCCAAAAAGTTCGTGTTGATACACTGACCTAATAGTGTCTGGGTGTTCACTCCCTATCATACATCAAGACTTGATATTTTATTTTCTCTGTCACGGCAGATTAATCTACTTCCATTGGACTAAGCAGACAAAGCAACTAGAAGCATGGGCTGCCAGATTTTTTTTTAACTAAAAAGGAAATTATTGGGACACTCGGGACCATTTGAGCATCAACTGAGTATTAAAAAACAGTAGAATCAATAGCAGAATTACTGGCTCATATGGTAGTTCTATTTTTAAATTTCTGAGGCACCTCCATACTGTCCTTCCATAGCGGCTACACCAATTTTCATTCCCAACAACAGTGCACAAAGCTTCTTTTTATTCCACACGCTGGCCAACACTTGTTATTTCTTGTGTTTTTATTTTAGTCATTCTGACAGGTGTAAGGTGATATTTCATTGTGTGTGTGTTTTTTTAAAGATTTTATTTATTTACTTGAGAGAGAGAGAGAGAGAACAAGAGACAGCACAAGTAGGGGAAGAGGTAGAAGGGCAGAGGGAGAAGCAGACTCCCCACTGAGCGGAGATCCCGATGTGGGACTCGATCCCAGGACCCTGGGATCATGACCTGAGTTGAAGGCAGAGGCTTAAACAACTGAGCCACCCAGGCGCCCCCTCATTGTGGTTCTGATTTGCTTTTCCCTGATGATGAGTGATGTTGAGCATCTTTTTCATGTGTCTGTTGGCCATCTGCATGTCTTCTTTGTAAAAATGTCTATTTGTGTACTCTGCTCCTTTTTAAATTGGATTATTTGGCATTTTTTGGTGTTGAGTTGTTTAAGTTCTTTATATATTTTGGATATTAACCCCTTATCAGAGACAGCATTTATAACTATCTTCTCCCATCCAGTAAACTGTCTTTGTTTTGTTTCTGGCTTCCTTCTCTGTGCAAAAACTTTTTATTTTGGAGTCGCCCCAAGAGTTTAATTTTGCTTTTTGTTTTCCTTTCCAGAGGAGACATATCCAGAAAAATGTTTCTACTGCTAATGTCAAAGAAATAACTGCCTACATTTTCTTCTAGGAATTTAATGGATTTCAGGTCTCACATTTAGGTCTTTGATCCATTTTGAGTTTGTTTTTATGCCTGGTATTTACCCAAAGGAAATGAAAGCACTAATTCAGAAAGATATATGCAGCCATATGATCACTGTAACATTATTTACAATACCCAAGATGTGGAAGCAATGCAAGTGCCCATCGATATAGATGAACGGATAAAGAAGATGTGGTATACATATACAATGGAATATTACTCAGCCATAAAAAGAATGAAATCTGGCCATCTGGAGGGACCTAGATGATATAATGTTAACTGAAATAAGTCACTCAGAGAAAGACAAATACCATATTGTTTTCACTCACATGTGGAATTTAAGAAAAAATTAAAGGAAAACGGAGACAAACAACAAACCAAACTCTTAAATACAGAGAACAAACTGGTGGTGGTTGCCAGAGGGGAGGAGGGTGGGGATGTGGGGAAAACAGAGGGGATTAAGAGCACACTTATCATGATGAGCACCGAAAAACGCAAAACGCATGGAATTGTTGAATCATTACATTGTACCCCTGAAACTCTAACACTGTATGTTAATTTTACTTGAATAAAAAAAGAAATGTCTTGAGTGTGATGGCAGTAATGTGGAAATGTAGGAAAACACCCTTATTCTTAGTAGATACATACGGAAGTATTTAGGGATGAAGAATATGATTACAATTTATTCTCAACTGGGTCAGCAACTGCCCAGTTACATGGTCACAGATATACCCTCTCCATAGACTCCGCAGCTCGAAAATGCTTCCAACCACAGTTGTGAGAAGTTACGACGTATTTCACAAAGAATTTATTCCTAAACCTGACAATTGGGGCACCTGGGCGGCTCAGTGGTTAAGCGTCTGCTTTCAGCTCAGGTCATGGTCTCGGGGTCCTGGGATCGAGCCCCGCATTGGGCTCCCTGCTCAGCGGGAAGCCTGCTTCTCCCTCTCCCACTCCCCCTGCTTTTGTTCCCTCTCTTGCTGTGTCTCTCACTGTCAAATAAGTAGATAAAAATCTTTAAAAAAAAAACACACCTGACAATTATTGAAAACAAAAACTAGGGGGGCATTATGGACTTCATGCTTGTGTCCCCCCCAAATTCATATGTCGACATCTAACCCCTCAAGATGATAGTATTAAAAGGTTGGGCTTTTAGGAGGTAATCAGGTCATGAGAGTGGAGCCTCATGAACAGGATTAGGGCCCTCAGAAAAGGCTCCCTAGAGAGCTCACCCCTTCTGCCATGTGAGGACAAAGCAAGAAGATGGCCACCTATGAATCCGAAGTAGGCCGTCACCAAACACCACATCTGCCACATTGTTCTTGGACTCCCTAGTATCCGGAGCTGTGAAAGTAAGTTTCCGTTGTTCCTAACCCCCCTGGTATATCTTAGCAGCACTGCTTTCCTCGGTGGGAAGTGACAAAATGGAGTTGGAGTGAGTGGGCCAGGAAGTACAGATACCCAAACAACCGATGTGGGACAGACACTAGGGAGAAGGGGTTAGGAATGCAGGCTTGCCCAGCCTAACCCCCTACTCCCTTCTTGGCCTCAATTGTCTGAAAAAAACGAAATACCCATTTTCCACCACCGTTTGCCATTGGGTGGGTCCCTCGCTGGGGTCCCATGCAGAGACTGTCATACAATGCAGGTACAAGGACAGTCCCCAAATACTCATAAACCAAATGTATAAACCAATACAGATATAATCAAAGATTTTAAAATAGTTTTCTCAGCACGCAGCACCATCTATGAAATCCTCTTGTAAAATCTGGAACCTAAATTTGCTCAAGCACTTAGTGCTCCCACTATAGGAAATGTTGTAGCTAGAGGAACCCACTGAATGACACCAAAAAGAGGCATTTTTGAGATAATCAGGGAGAACTGATTATTGCGGTTGTATTAGATGATACCCAAGAATTACTGATAATCTCAGCCATTTCTTCTGTATTTTCAGTAGAAATAGACAGTGGTAAATTAGACTGTATTCAGCAAAATCCCCTCACGCTCCCCACTTCCACAAGGATCAGCGCGTACTTCCTTGCCCCCAACTTTGGATTTGGCCCTGTGACTTGTTCCCGTTCTGAGCCCAGGCCTTCAGAGTTCCGGAAGGTTCCGCTTGCTTCCTTGGCCCTCTCCCTGCACCCATCACGTCCATGCTAACCAGTACAAAGATGCTACCATAAACAGAGCACTACCAAAGAAATACCTCCAGCGGTATTTGGGGACCCAGTGGCAACACTTGGGGAAACTGTTATCAGAGCCTGGAAAATATGGTAGCCCCTGGATGATACAGTGTGAAACATTTGGTAAAACAGTCGTTGGCAGTAACATAAGATGGAAAATGCACTTAATGGGACTCAGTGTGGACCCGGGCAAGATGGAAGTGAGTGGGAGCTCATAACAAAGCCGATACAAAATGAAATAACATGTTATCCAGGGTATTCTTTTAAAATGCTTTGGGACATCCAACTCTTGGTTTCAGCTCAGGTTGTGATCTCAGGGTCATGAGGTCAAGCCCTGGATCGAACTCCGTGCTCAGTGTGAAGTCTGCTTAAGCCTCTCTCTCCCTCTCTCTCAAATAAATAAATAAACCCTAAAATAAAATAAAATGCTTTGGGAAAGAAAAAAGGAAAATGGAAAAGATAGATTAAGCAGATGTGGCAAGATGTTGAAACTTGCACTATGGGTACTACACACAGAGATCCACAGTACTATTTTCTCTTTTTGAGTAATTTCATAATTAAAATATTTTTCATGATTTAAAAAAATCCTTGTTCTACTCTCTGATGGCCTTTTGAGGTGTCAACTTGGCTAGACTATAGTCCTATTGTGGAAGCAAACATTAATCTAGGTGTTGCTGTGAAGATATTTTATAGATGTGATTAAAGCCCATATTCAGATGACTTGGAGGGAAACTATTTTAAATAATCTGGGTGAGCCTGGTCTAATCAGTTGAAGGGCTTCAAGCCCAGAACTGAGGCTTCCCTAAGAGAAGAAATTCTACCTGTAGACAGTAGCATCAGTCTATGTCTAAGAGTTCCTGTCTGCCCCGGGATTTCTGATTTGCCTAGCCCCCACAGTCACAGAAAATAAACTTCTTACAAATCTTAATATATATCTCGTATTATTTCTGTTTCACTGGTTGAACCCTGATGGATACATCCACACTCAGATCTTGCTACTGATGTGGACTGGACCAAGTGCCACTCCAAGTGTGGTCATGTACCTACCAACCCCAACCATGCACTCAAAGGCTGTGACAATACTGCATTGCTACAAGGCTTTCTGAATGCAGGGCACCTAGATGGCTCAGTTGGTTAAGTGACCAACTCTTGGTTTTGGCTCAGGTCATGATCTCAAGGTCGTGGGATCCAGCCCTGCTGGATCCATGCTCCGTGGGGAGTCTGCTTCTCCCTCTCCCTCTCCCTCTCTTTTTGCTCCTCCCCCTGCCCACACACACACACACACTCTCTCTCTCTCTCTCTCTCTCTCTCTCTCAATCTCTCTAATAAATAAGTAAATAAATAAATCTTTTTGCAAAAGAGTTTCTGAACTCTTACTCTCGATTGCTTTATTGATCTCTCAGTGATAAGCAGCTCATGGACTGGCACTTGTGTGTGAACTTCACCTGGACATCTGGACATCTGAGAGCCTGTTTCGTCATGTCTGCAAAGGGAGTGACATCACCAGTCTCCCACAGCGGTTACGAGCAAGGCAAAGTGCCCAACATGGAGCCGTCCCTCAGAAATGGGCGACCTCCCTTCAGAGAATCGAGGTGTCCAGCTCCTCAGCAGTGACACTGGCCTTTAAGAGAGAGAAAGGAGGGGCGCCTGGGTGGCTCAGTGGGTTAAAGCCTCTGCCTTCGGCTCGGGTCGTGATCTCAGGGTCCTGGGATCGAGCCCCACATCGGGCTCTCTGCTCAGCGGGAGGCCTGCTTCCTCCTCTCTCTCTCTGTCTACTTGTGATTTCTGTCTGTCAAATAAATAAATAAAATCTTAAAAAAAAAAAATAAAAAAAAAAAAGAGAGAGAAAGGAAACCTCAACTTACCTGGAATTTAATCATACTGTCTTCCTCTTGGAAGGAGCAGGATCCTGAGAAAGCAGAGCTGCAAAGAAAGAATCCATGAGAGCACTGGTTTGACAAACTGTGAGTGAATCCTGGTTTCTCCTTGTCTGTACAATTTTCTCACACATTCTTCTCTCCCGAGATCACTTTACCTCTCTCATACCCAACAGACTCCCTCCCATCTCCTCAAGCCTTGTTCCCCTGCCCCCACTCCACCCGGATTCTTGTAGAACTCCTATCTCTCTCCCCAAGCCTTTGGGTCCAAACTGCCACACTTTTTCTTGTTCGTAGACCTGTGAATGTGTTGGTGTCACCCATATCCTAATTACTCTGGAAAAAAGGCTCCAGAATTCCTGACTTGGACAGGGATCTCAGAATGACAGCGGACCTCCCTCTGTGTCCACTTTCTCGTAGGAGACTTGCTCTGAAAAACTTTCAGTTAGCTCAGATCTTAACTCTTGTCTTCCAGAATGATCTCCCTCCAGCCCCCATTCCATCCTCTGGGGCCCCGTCACTTTTGCAAATACTTGACGATATACCTACGCCATGAAAGGCATGCTCTCTGCTCTGGGAAAGTTCACAGGCTCCTGAACTAAGAACTCAATCCTAAATGCAGGTGACTCCTCGTCCACTCAAGTCTCTTCCCCATCCTGCCTGTTAACGGGGAATCCCCTTGCCCTCCTGCTTCCAGTTGAGTTCAGCCAATAGGGAAAGTTGGCCAGAGATTCGGGAATGGGACAGACCTGAAATCAGAGTATTTATTCCCCCAGGTCTTCCCCTGGGGGCTGCTTTGGACCAGCTCTGTTTCATGTCCCTTGACCAAAGGTCAAAGCGCCTGTCTTGTGGCCCTTGTCTCAAATCTTTCCCCAGGTCTGGTAACTGTTTCCTCCCTTAGTCCTTCCATCCTAGGGACAGGAAGTTACCCTGCTGTGACCAGATCTGGCACATTACAATATCCTTTCTTGATGACCACACCCCGTCTGCACTTTTGGAAACTGTCCCTTTATTTTAAACTCTTCTCAAGTCACCATTTTGACTGCAGTGTTTATCTCCTGTCTGATAAACTCTAAACCATGGCAGCCTCTGGCCTTTCAGGAGAAACTTAGTGTATGAAATTTCTGCTTTAGGAACTGTGGGAACCTCAAAGATTAAAAGATAAAAACCAAAAACCAGGTCTCTGTCCTCTCAAGTAATGCTTTCTTCAAACTACCTGTGGTGAAGGACCGGTTTCATATTCTTTTCACGGTTATTTTCAATCTGTCACCAACTAATATTTTGGTAAAACGCCATTTAAAAGAAATTTCTAGAAAAAGGAAATACAGAGGCATACAAATTACAGGCCCGTTTAAAAATTATTAATCAATTATCACATGATTACTGAAACTGCTATACTGAGTTTTAAATGTTTCCACTCAATTTCTGAGATTATCTGGTCAGAGAGCACTAACATTTAGTTCTTCAATGGGCACCCATCTGCGGGTCACCCCCTGAGTTACAAGTTCTGGCAGCTTACAGGGTAACAGAATCAGGTTAATAGAATATGGAATGACTCTTGGCAAACCTCCACTCTCCCCCACCCCTTCCCCGCCTTTAGTAGAAAGCCTTAATCACCCTTATTCTGGGCTCCAACAAAGACTTGCTAAACCTCTTAGTACAGGGCCAATCACATAATTTTATATGAGTTAAAACCTATCAAATAACATTTCTCCCTAACTTGTCCAATACAAAACAAAACAAACCTATAAATCCTGATGACATAACCAAGCCTTCATCCTTTATCTGTTGTACCTGGTAAAGGTCTTGCCATTTGTCAAGCATTCAGTGTTCCTTGAGACTAACAAACACAAAAACAGAAACAGCCCTGACATACTAGATGCATGTACAAAGACACAGCACATCCGGCTCTCTGCTACCAGAACCGGTTCTCTCCTAAGAGCCAATGATGCATCAGCTTGACTTACGTGCACACACGCACCCACACACGTGTGGGAGGAGTTTGGTTTCCCAGATGTCTGGTTTCAAGCCCTCCCTGCCTTTATGAAGCGGCGCCCGGGAAGGAACCAGATGGCACATTCAAATTTGAGGCGGGCAGTTAATAAACAGACTACTTACAGGGGTGTAGGCTGGGCGTAAGGAAGGCATGGAGGAGAAGGCACCATGCTGAGGAGTGACAGGCAGGTGCCATTACTACATCTGGGCCTGAAGTGGGTAATAGGAGGGAGATTCCTGGACCTGGAACAGAGTGTGCAAAAGGTCCCTGATGGGAACTGTAACTTTTTGTTGAGAAGGGCAGGCAGCCTACAGAGAGAATTGGGGAGACCAGATATTTCAATTCACTCCCCCCCCCCCAAACTCTCCCATTGGGACTTCCCACTGGCCAAGGATAACCAGGCCAGAGGGCAGTGGCAGGCTCTCGGTGTGGATGGCAGGGTGGAAAGGTGAAGTCGATCTGGAGGTGGGTAACCGAGAGAAAGTGGCACATGATGCCCCAAGACCCTTGTTTCCCCCCCACCTGCCCAGGAGCACACAGCTCTCTCCGACAAATGCTCCTCTCGCTCACTCAACCCAGACATCACTGGGATGGGAGTCACTGCGGCAGGACAGAGATCAGGTGCCCACAGCGGCCTCTTGAGGGGAAGGGGACCCAACAGGAAAGCAGAAGTTGAATTTGGAACTGCAACTGCCAGGAAACACAATCGGAAATACAAGCCCCAAGTTCTCCCCAAAGTCCTGCTTCCAGATTCCTGGTTCTTTTTCTCAGAATTTCTAGAGCGTTCAGGACCGAGGAGAGAGACTAACCTGAACTTTCCTGGATATACCTAGCAATCAAGTGTAATTGTCTGGGGAACAGGATAAAGGCCATTTCTTCCATGTGTGTGAGAGACTAAATGTCATGTAATGATGACAAAGTCATATATCTGATCCGTGAGTATCTGAGCTGAAGGACTCTAGGAGATCTAACGTTAGCCCTAAGGGCCAGAGGCTGGACTGCAGGCAGGGCTGTCTCTAGCCCCTGCCAATGTGCCTTTAGACTGATTAGAAAAATGCATCCCTTCTTCAAGATGTTTTTCTCCCATTTGTTGGAAATTATTATAATATACTGCTTCTGTCAGAACAGAGAAAGCACTTTTGCTGCTCCTTGCTGAAAAACTGTGTGTGAGTCTTCTATGTGAATGGCACAGCCTCACTGTGGTCTCCTTGTGCAGAACCCAACCTGCACAAATGGGCACAGCAGTCGTTCCCTCAGAAAGCCTGTCCAGAAACCTGACACCAGGGGCTCCTGGGGGGCTCAGTCAGTTGAGCATCTGACTCGTGGTTTCAGCTCAGGTCATGATCTCAGGGTCCTGGGATCGAGCCCCACATCAGGCTCTCTGCTCATTGGGGAGCCTGATTCCTTCCTCCTCTCTCTCTGCCTGCCTCTCTGCCTACTTGTGATCTCTCTCTCTGTCAAATAAATAAATAAAATCTAAAAAAAAAAACAAATAAGAAAATCCTAAAAATCTAAGGGGCATCTGGGTGGTGTGGTCAGTTAAGTATCCAACTCTTGGTTCAGCTCAGACCATGATCTCAGGGTCCTGGGATCGAGCCCCACATGGGCTCCACACTCAGTGGGGAATCTACTCTCTCTCTCCCTCTGCCCCCCGCCGACTCCCACATGCTCTCTCAAATAAATAAATCTTCAAAAAACAAAGAAACAAACTCAAAGACTACTGAGACATGGCTGTGTGAATGTGACAAAGCCTATCACTGGCCACTCCAAGTGACCACAAAGATTAGGACGATGAGAGGGCTTTTCTAGTGATCTTCCCGAGTCCCCCGCCCATGGGGGTCATTCTTCTTTCGTCAGACCACAGGATCCTGTACTCACATCCACTATAACTTTTCATATTGTACGGCCCTTTTTCTGGTTACTTTTTGCTTTCTCTCCTGTAATGTGTGCTCCTGATGAATGGAAATTACACTGTTCACGTACATGTGGCAAGTTTAGCATGTAACAGGTGCCAAATAAACCAATGAATGGACAAGTCTGGGCCTTTGCCAGACTTAATTCTCAGACTGAAAAGATCAGCTCTTGATATCAAAAGTGCAAGGAAAACTGCCCATACGTGACCCACGCATTCAGTGCTGATTCTGGGAAAAGGCAGCGGACCCTGGCTGCTAGAAAAAAAAAAGCGGGGTGGGGGGGTGCACCTGGGTGGCTCCATCAGTTAAGCATCTGCCTTTGGCTCAGGTCATAATCCTGAGGTCCTGTGATCGAGCTCCTTGTCAGGCTCCCTGCTCGGCAGGGGAATCTGCTTCTCCCTCTGCCCCTCTCCCCGTCCTGTGTGCTTTCTCTCTCTGTCTCTTACTCTCTATCTCAAGTAAATCAAATCTTAAAAAAAAAAAAAAAAAAAAAACTGACTCTGAAGCCAAACTGCTGGGTTGGCTATATATATGCCCTTGGGCAAACTATCTCCTGGTGCCTCAGTTCCTTCCGGTGTAAAGACAGGATGTTGAGAGAACCTATTTCTCAGTGTCATGTGGGAACTTGGTAAGTCATCACATGGGAAGTGCTCGAGGCAGTGCACGGCATACAATGACCAGTCAATACGTGTCTGCCCTCATGTACTGGACTGCCCGCTAAGTGCTCCAGGTGTCAAAGTAAAATTCAGTCCCTGATCTCAAGGTAGGCAAACTAGGGGGGAGAGAGGTGAGCAAATAAATTCACAGGAACGCGAGAAGGTCTGCAACACACATTCTGCAAGACCGAACAAAGAGCCAGGGAACAGGAACCCAGCGCACCCTGGGAGGGGCCCAGGCTGTCAGGGAAGGTTTTGGAGAGATGATAATTGAGCTGTAGCTGAGGCCTGAGGAAACAGCAGGCACTTACCAAACTGACATGGAAGGAAAAGGCTAATGAGCAACGGTGGCCTTGTGGGTGAAAAAAACACGAGTGCGGAATGCTGGGGTCCCATCAAAGGCCAGGACACAGACTCGCAGGGCCGGGTGGCTGAGATAATGCTGGGAACATCACCAGGGGCCAAACCCTGGAGAATCTCAAAGAGCCTGAACACTGTGTAGCTATTATTATCATCCTGCAAGTCTGGATTTGGGAGTCACTTCCTCAGGAAGCCCTCCTTGATAACCCCTACTATATTAGGTACTGTCTGCATCCTTCCAAGCTGCTCTAACAGATTACCACAGACTGGGTGGTTTACAAACAACAGAAATTTCTTTCTTTTTTTTTTAATATTTTATTTATTTATTTGACACAGAGAGAGAGAGAGATCACAAGTAGGCAGAGAGGCAGGCAGAGAGAAAGAGGGAAGCAGACTCCCTGCTGAGCAGAGAGCCCGATGTGGGGCTCAATCCCAGGACCCTGGGGTCATGACCGGAGCTGAAGGCAAAGGCTTTAAGCCACTGAGCCACCCAGGCGCCCCCAGAAATTTATTTCTCACAGTCCTGGAGGCTGGGAGCTCATGATAGGGGTGCCAGCACCATGCAGGGAGGGCTGTCTTCTGGATCACAGACTTCCTGCTTCATCCCCACAGGGCTGAACAAGTAGGGGAGCTTTCTAGAGCTTCCTTTATAAGGGCATTGATCTCGTTCATGAGGGCTCTGCCCTCATGCCATAATCACCTTCCAAAGCCCTACCTCTTAATACCACCCCACTGGGCCTTAGCATTTCAACATATGAATTTCAGGGGATACAAACACTCAGACCATGGCAGGTAGCTACCGTGGCTGGCATTTCTCCTCTCAAAGCACTACACTGTGGCTGCATAATTCTCTTCCACCTTTGCTATAAACTCAGGGAGAACAAGGATGGCATTTCCTCGTTCAACATATATTTATTAAGTGCCTGCTGTCTGCCAGGCAGTGATCTGGACACTGAAGATAGAGCAGTGATAAGGGCTATGGAGACAAAAAAGGGGTGGGGTGGCAGGGGGATCGGGAGTGAAATGGACTCAGAAGACTCACCGGGATGATCTGTAGGAAAAGACCTAACGAAGCAAGGGAGTGAACAAGACAAGCATCGGTACAAAGAGCATTCTAGATGGAGGGAACAGCAAGCACCAGGACCCGGAGGTGGCAGCACGCATGGCATGTGGCTGATATGGAGTGATCGAGGGAAGGAGCACTGGGAGATGAAATAAAAGGAAATGTGGGCCACATGGCATGCGGTCTTCTAGGCCATTTCAAGGACTTTGGCTGTTACTCTCATTAGATGGCAACAACGGGAGGAACTCGAACAGGAGAGTGACATGATCTCACTTTAGGTATCAACAGGATTCCTCTGGCTGCTGTTAAGGAGGGACTAGCAGTGGCAAGAGGGGGAGCAGGAAGACCAGGTAGGAGGTTTTCCCGATAACGCCGGCAAGGGATGATGGGGCCTTGGGTCAGGGAAGCAGAGGTGGAGGTAGTGAGAAGTTGCTGGGGTCTGAATTTCTACTGAAGATACAGTCGATGGGATCTGCTGATCACTTGCATCTGGGGCGGAAAGCGGGGAGAAGAGGCTTTGACCTCAGGGACTGGAAGGATGGAGTTGCCATTTACAGAAATGGGGATCGTGGGGGCCGTTTCTATGGAGGATCAGGACTCAATTTTGGAAATATTAGGTTTGAGGTGCAGAGCTAGAAGATAAAATTATCCCATTCACAGGAGACAAAAGACATAAAACACCTATGAATCAATTTCCTTAGGAAAAAAAAAACCCTCCGAATTTTATTGAAACACCTGAAGCACGGTCACGGAGCTCACAGTGACTCCCAGGGCCCAGGGGTCTAGTCTGAGGGGGAATTCACAACATCTGGCCCCCACATACTATATGCAACTAAAAGTAAATCCAACCTTTCTATGCTTCTTCAAGACACTCCCTAGCTAGCTAACTGGAAAACTGTTTGGGAAAATATTTTATCATAAAAATTTCACACCCAGGGCTCCTGGGTGGCTCAGTGGGTTAAGCCTCTGCCTTCGGCTCAGGTCATCATCTCAGGGTCCTGAGATCGAGCCCTGCATCGGGCTCTCTGCTCAGCTGGGAGCCTGCTTCCTCCTCTCTCTCTGCCTGCCTCTCTGCCTACTTGTGATCTCTGTCAAATAAATAAATAGAATCTTTAAAAAAATTTTCACACCCATGCAGAGGTAGACAGGAGAGTCTAATGAGCCCTCCAGGTATCAATCATGCAGCTTAATCAATTTTCACCACATGGTCTCTCTTGATTCAACTATACCTCTAGCCCTCCCCACGTCCTCGTGTATTATTTGGAAGTATATCCTTGACACCACATTCATCACATTGTTTAAATCAGAAATACTGCATCATGTCGCTCTAAAAGGTATGAAATAGTTTTAAAGGTGCTAATATTACACCTAAAATAATTAACCTCAATTCTCCAATTTTATCAAATGTAGAGTCAGTACTCAAATTTCTAATTTGTTGACAGCAATCGAACAATCCGCCGTTCGCTCTTTGTCTTCCACGCCTCAAAGTTTGCATTCCCTGCCCCACAGCATGTAAGGTGAGGATGGGGTTAATAATTTGGGGCCGTTCTCTTTAAACTGTATTCGGATTTCTAACTAGAGAGAGGAGAAAAGTCAAGATGTAAGGAGAAAGAGTTAGAGGTCTCCCGAGAAAGATGAGACATAGCTTCTTGGCATTAAGAAAAGTCATTTTAGTCATTCTGGGTCCCAGCCATCTTGAGATCGAAGCCTGACTGGCACTATGTGCCCAAAGCATCTTCCTCGAAGAACTTCCTGGGATATGTTGAAATTGCAGAATAGAGTTACTAATTAAATAGTTAATAATTTTAAGGGAACAAAAGAATGGAAGAATAAACAGCCACTATCAGGACAGGAGATAGCCTGATCCTATCAGGGACAATTAATCAACTGTAATAATGTGCAGGGCTCATTCAAACGTGAAGAGTGACCAGAAGCACGTTCTTGAGTTCTCTTTTTAGGATCTAAACCCCTTTGAGCACCCAGATAACAGACCAACTGGAGCCAGGGAATTGATGATGCTGATCCTTGCCGGCCCTCAGGACTTCTATCAGATCTGAACTCTGCCACCTAAGATGACTTGTGCCCCCCAGTTCCAGGCTGAATTTTCCATTGCACAAGCCCCTGCAAGAATATGCATGCACCATTATCTTAAAACTTCCCAATGGATGCCTGGGTGGCTCAGTAGGTTAAAGCCTCTGCCTGCAGCTCAGGTCATGATCTCAGGGTCCTGGGACCGAGCCCCGCAACAGGCTCTCTGCTCGGCAGGGAGCCTGCTTCCCTCTCTCTCTCTGCCTGCCTCTGCCTCTGCCTCTCTGCCTACTTGTGATCTCTGTCTGTCAAATAAATAAGTAAAATCTTAAAACTTCCCCAGTTTTGTTATTCCAGGAGACACTGCTTTGGAAAATATCCCACCCCCCACCCCCTGCAATGTGTTCTCCTTTATTTGTTGCAAGTAAAATCCTTCCTTTTCCTATTTTTTTTCCCTTGGTTGTGTCTTTTGGCTTAACACCCACCAAGAAGTGAACCCAGTCTGGGGGAACAAAGATGCCACCCCACCCCGGAGTCGGAACTGCCACATCCCAAAAAACAGCGTTCAGAATCCAAGACTCCAAGAACCTCGGGCTGCTGAGCCCGAATCGCCCCCCAAGCCAAGGCCAGGAATGTACAGCCCAAGTGGTTCCCCATACTCGGAGATAAACTGCTTGAGCGGATCCCTCTCCGCAGTCAGGGACACTTGGCCCAAACCATTATCCTCGCAAACCTGAGCCAACGCCCTCCTGTTCCCGCCCCGGGCCAGAGATGCGTATTCCAAGACTGACACCAACCCCAATGCGGGGATGCACAGCCCCTATCCCGAAACCTGCACCGGTGCTACCGCAGTCAGACCCCCAAACCGAGCTCAAGCTCATCCCACCTCTTCCCACCTCTTCCCTGGGAATGCCGGGCGAGACCCTCAACACTCCGCCCCCCCGAGGGGGCTCTTTCATTGGCCACCAGTCCCTGCTTCCAACTCCTCCCACCCGCCGACACTGCCGGGTCACAGCTACACACCCCACCAGCCCCATCGCCCCCGACCCCTCCGAAGGGGGCGCGGTCCGGACGGGACTCACCTCAGCGCCCCAAACAATGTCGCCCACAGAGAGCGCCTCTGCCAAAAGCGCATGCGCAGGAGGCCTGTGGACTACAACCCCCAGAAGTCCCTGCGCCGCAGTGGCGCCGCGCCTGGAGGCTGCCTGGGGGATCCGTGGTCCTGTTGGGGGCCACCTGTACGCTTGCCATTTATTTAAAACAACAATAATAACAATCGCAATGGAGATAAAATAACAGTGAAATGTTAACGACAATTAAGGCAAATCACCGTCCACCCGTGATACAAAGGAGGGGCAAGCTTCAAAAATCCCACCACCTGGAAATCAGCACCTGTTCCCAATTCAGTGAAAACCCTTATAGGATCTTATTCTGCAGAAGTATACCCTTTAATTTTATAAACGCGCGATTTTTCCATTAAAACTCATTTAAATGCCCTTTTCACGGTTTGTTTCTCTTGAAAGGGACTCTGGAAAATCTTCCACATTTGAGAGCTGACAGTCCGCTAATATGTTTCCCTTTCTCTGGAGAAGCAGAGAGAATTTAAAACCAGTGCCTTCTGCTTTGAAATAGGTAATAGCACGAGTCTGGGAGTGGAGGGAGTCTTATAAGAAGACATATTTTCACAAATCATGAAGACGTGAAACATTTTCGGATTCCCTTTGAGAGTCTCCCCTATTGGTACTTAACTTTTGCATTTTAAGATTACTGTTAAAGTTTCTTTTTGTGCCATCATGGGGTAAGAAAACTGTATAAGGATTTCACCAGAGGCCCACAGTTCTGGCCTGGAGGAAAGCACCAAAAAGAAAAAACAAAAACAAAAACCACACACACACACACACACACACACACACACACACACACAAAACGGATGAGAACATCCTCTCTTTGCCACCTTTAGTCCTATACTAGACAGATAATTGAAGACCCTCACCTCCTAGCAGTTGGCAGGAGCGGGACACATAATATCCATATATACAGCCTGGCATTGCAACTCATGACACATACAGGGGACAGCAAGATTCTTTTGGATTAACTCTGCCTTTTGATATCTTGATGTTAGTTTCATGGTGGTTTAAAAAAAAAAAAAACTAGTAAGATCTGCCAGAGAGACAGGAGTGACCTTTAACTTTGGCAGATCCTAAAACAGTCCTTTTATGGGTTGGAGGAAGAGTTTTCCTTTGACATGCTTCAGTAGTATCTGTGATAAATATGTCAAACCTCCACATCTGAGTTAATTTATTCCTTCTAGTCCCTCCTTTTTTTACCTCATTTTCTATTACTTTCCCCCTTGCCCATTTGGTCCAATAACAGGTCGGGTCGGTAGTGTCCCCAGTGCTTAGACACATAGTGCCTGACACATAGTAACTACTGATTAGCCAAAGGTCAGTCAGAAATAACAATTCGAGAGGTTGGATATGAAAGCCATGCATGGCCATATTACATGATACCATGTTACACTGTGACACTGGGGTCCAAGGCAAAGCCAGGCTTAGCTTGTTTTCATCGCTCTGAGCAACACATCTGAATGCAGGAGATCTCCCAAGTAAGAATAAACCAAATTTAATTTCTGACCTACCATGATACCCCCTCATCCTGGTAGACTGAAATACTGAGTTGGCATATTTCATTCTCCCTCTCGTGCTGGAATAAAAATAGGCTGGGTTTTATACCTGAGATATTTATATTCAGGCTAAGGACTGTTCTGAGGAACAGTTACAATTTGTCTGGACCCACAAAATCTACTCGGAAATAGGTATCTTGGGACACCTGGATTGCTCAGTCTTTCAAGTGTCTGCTTTCGGACCCCAGAGTCCTGGGACTGAGCCCTCCCTGCTTCTCCCTCTCCTCCCTGCTCATGCTCTCTCTCTCTAATAAATAAACTTTAAAAAAATTTTAAAAAGGGAAACATATTCTAAGTCTCTGACTCTAGCTTATAAAATGATCACTTGTCACCTGTTGGTAAAATACAATGTTACTATCACAGTCAACTTTATATTCTATATCAGACTTATCTGCCCTACCAACCCACTTCAGCTAGAGAAAACTCATTCACCATCATTCTTTGTAGGCTACCAACCATGCAGTTTCTGACTCTGCCCACAGAGGGTGTTTTTACAACCCTCCAGATGCCCTGAAACTTGTACTAACCTTCCTACCATGCAACACTCAGAGAATGACAACGGAGTGACATCTTTACTTTTCCTGCTGATTTTGCAGAGAACGCACCACAGTTCAGTGTCGGACACCAACCAATCCATAGTGGTGACGGCACTCCCCTTGACTCTCGTGTACCCCTTGCCCCCACTGAAATAGCAGCAGCCGATCGGCACCTGGGTAAACTTTAGGCAACCCAGTGGGACCTTGAGGACAGCCTCTAGCTGGTAGGATGGTTAGAACACATCAACGAAGGTCGCCTGTTGGCATGATTGTTCCAACCAAATCATTTGCCCATGCTGTTAGTAGGTACGGTGGTTTGAAGACCCATCCACAGGTTCTCTGGTACTCCTTGCGAGGGATGGAGCCTAATCCCCCCACCCCCGGAAAATTAGTGACCCCTAAAAGAAGAAAGCGGAAGTGATGGTCATGTCAGAGCCTGGGTCACGGAAGGCCCTGTGGCTTCCTGCTTGTTCTCTCCTCTCTGGTCACTCGCCCTGAGGGAAGTCAGCTGCCATGTCCCAAGGCCCTCGGGTCGTCCTATAGAGAAGCCCACGTGGTGAGGAACTCAGGCCTTTTCCAACAACCACTGAGGAACTGAGGCCTCCTGTTCAAAGCTCTGTGATGCCCAGAGCCATCTGGGAAGCAGATCCTTTCAGAGCTGGTCAAGCATCCAGATGCCTAGTGGCAGCCAGTATCTGTGTCCCCAGAACACTGGGGAGAGACGGCCCAGACCAATTTAAGAACCCGTGGTCCTCCCTGTTTTTGTCTTATTTTTTTTCCTTGCCTTCCTCTGTGTTCATCTGTTTTGATTCTTAAATTCCGTATCTGAGTGAAATCGTACAGTATTTGTCTTTCTCTGACTTATTTTGCTTGGCATAATACCCTCTAGTTCCATCTGCGCTGTTGCAAATGGCAAGATTTCATAAAAACAGAGAGGGAGGCAAATCCAAAGAGACTCTTAACTCTAGGAAACAAACTGAGGGCTGCTGGAGGCGAGGTGGTGGGGGGAATGGGGTTACTGGGTGATGGGCATTAAGGAGGGAACTCGATGCAACGAGCACTGGGTGTTATACACAACCGGAGAATTATTAAATTCTACTCCTGAAACTAAAAACAAAATTGAAATTAAAATTTTGGAGCTTTTAAAAAATGCATAAAATAAAATTACAGAAAAAAAGAATCTGCAATCCTCCTTAGGAAATCCATTTAGAGAGCTGAACTTTTCAACACAGACCTTAAGGGTCTCAGGGGCAGTGTCTGTGTTCTTTGGCTGTTAAAACCCACACCACGACTGGAAGGATGCTGCTGCTATTCCCCAAAACACTTGAGATTTTTTTTCAAAGCCCCTTTGGAAAGCTAACCATTTCAGCTATGGACACTTTGCTAAACTTAAAATCATTAAAGACATATTCTTTAACTGTTCATTTAGATAGAAAGGGCCCTCTCCCACCTCCCTGTCACACCTACAACTGACATGCAGCAGCCCAGGAAGCAGAGAGGAGCTCGGCCCACACAGTGCCCCTGGTGAGCGGGTCAGACTGGAGGGGCCCCATCCTGGTGTGCTGCCTTCTAAAAAGCCAGGCTTGGGGGCTCACGGTCCCAGAGAGCCAGAATGCAGAGCAGAGCACCAAAGTTCCTCCCAGTTACCCAGGCCAACCTCCTTTCCGACCAAGCCAACAAAAATGATGCATCCAGTTAAGAGAGCATCTAAGTCACAAATTTCTCCGTTCATCTGTATACCTTATATTTGGTACTAGGTGCCAAGTATACACAGCAGAAAAAGCAACAGCAACAAAATTACAGAAGTTGTGACATGGATCTTTGACATAAGGCACTGTTCAGCCAGACTAATTTTTTTAAAAAATAGCTTTATTATTGTTATAAAATTGATATATGCTCTTTGTTAAAAAGTAAAAAACATATACGTACACGAATGTATTACACACCCCACATCCCACTTACTAGAGATAAGAAGTTATCATACTAACCTTTCACACATTTTCATCTCTCTCTCTCTCTAAACATACGCACGCAAAACGTATTAACAAAACAGGGCCATATTAAAATGGTTCTCCAACTTTCCTGGTTCACAATATAATTTTTGGACAACCTTCAATGTCAGTGTAAGTGTATCTGAGTATTTTTAGTGATTTTCATTCATTTACATGTGCCTTAATTTATTACACTTGGAGTATTAACTTTTTTTTTGCTAAGCTAAGAAAAACGCTAAGAAACTCAGCCATACGCATACATCTTTTTCCACATGTGCAACTATTTCCCGAGTATCACTTACTCCACACTTAGTGCCACTTCAAAGGTTAATACAAACTGAACTTGACACACTGACAAATTCTTTCCCAAAAAAGACTACTTTTTTCACCCCCACCAATAAATTCACAGGTGTACGTTTCCATGGATTCCCCACCGATGGTGGCTCTGGTGACTATTTTACCACAGCTGTTCCGACAAGTTAAAATGGTGTTTCTGATTCTTTAAGATGCTCTAATGGTTGCCTTGTCTGTTTAAGAACACTATGAATGAAACGGGGCAGAAGAATTATATTCATAACAATAAAATAAATTAACCTAAAAATTCAGTGCAATGCCAACGGGCTTTTGCTTTTAAAACCCAATAAAATGAGGGGCGCCTGGGCGGCTCAGTCACTCGAGCATCCGACTCTTGATCTCAGCTCAGGTCTTGATCTTGGGGCTGTGAGTGAGTTCAAGCCCTATGTTGGGCTCCACGCTGGGCGTGTAGCCTACTTAAAAACAAAAAACAAAAAACAAAAACAAACACAAAACAAAACAACCTGATGAAATGAAACGGCTCCGCAGTTCAGTATTTCTCTAGGAGAGCAGTTTATCTCTAGGAGATAAAACACGTTCACCGCAACGGGACATAAAAAGCGTGATGGACACACATCATCCAGACCTGCAGAGAGGGGGGCCCTCCCACACCCTCCCTCTTCAGGCTCTTCTAAAAGCCACTGGCCTCAACCAATGGTAATGTCACCTTTTTTTTTTTTTTGTAAAAACCATCTTCTAAGACGTACACACAATATCGGTTTTGGTAAGGTAAGCACTCTTTCCTACACCTGTCCCATCCCATCTGTAGGTATTTCCACCCCCCACCCCACAAGGAATCCATGCCCACAACCTACTCATTATCATTCATAAAAGCTCCCTCCTGGGCCAACTCTGATGAGAGTGATGATTTTTACTGAGGCCCCGTCCTACTTCCTTGAGGACAATCCACCGTGCGACAGACTCTTGGGGACACTTGGGGACGGAAGCCTGGGACTCAAGTGCTCTTTCCATTTCTCAGCCTTCTGGGTCTTCGCTTCCCCTTCAGAAAGGGCCACCATGACCAGATCAGCCCCCTTCCCGCCAACCATGGCCGACCCTACACACCATGTTCCCAAAGGCTTCCTCCCATGCTGGCGCTCTGGCGACTACAAAGCTCGGGGTGCCAGCCCCACACACGCCTACTTGTCGGGTTTCTCGCTGCCGTGCACCCGCTGATGGTTCCGCAGGCCTGAGCTGTAACTGAAGCCCTTCCCGCACTCCCCACACTTGTAGGGTTTCTCGCCGGTGTGGACTCTCTGGTGCACGTGGAGACAGGAGCTTCGGCCAAAGCCCTTCCCACACTCCCCACACCTGTAGGGCTTCTCACCCGTGTGGACCCTCTGGTGACCCTGCAGGTGGGAGCTCTGACTGTAGCCCTTCCCGCACACGTCACACCTATAGGGCTTTTCCCCGGTGTGCACCCTCTTGTGACTCAGGAGCCCTGAGCCGTATCGGAAGCCCTTGCCGCATTCATAACACGTGTAGGGCTTCTCCCCGGTGTGCAGCCGCTGGTGGGTGCGCAGGTTGGAGCCGTAACTGAAGCCCTTGCCGCACTGGTCGCACGTGTAGGGCTTCTTGCCCGTGTGGATCCGCTGATGCTTGTAGAGGCTCGAGGTGCAGCGGAAGCCCTTGCCGCACTCAGCGCATCTGTAGGGCTTCTCGCCGGTGTGGACTCTCTGGTGGATGAGGAGCCCCGAGCTGTAGCTGAAGCTCTTGCCGCACTCGGCGCACTTGTAGGGCTTCTCGCCCGTGTGCGTCCTCTGATGGATGAGTAGGTCGGAGCTGTAGATGAAGCCCTTCCCGCACGCGCTGCACACGAAGGGCCGCTCGCCCGTGTGGACCCGCCGGTGACTGTGCAGGTCTGAATTCCGCCGGAAGCCCTTGCCGCACTCGCCGCACTTGTAGGGCCTCTCGCCGGTGTGGACCCGCTGGTGCACGTGCAGGTCCGAGCTGCGGCCGAAGCCCTTCCCGCACTCGCACTTGTAGGGCTTCTCGCCCGTGTGTAGCCGCTGGTGCCTGAGCAGTCCCGAGCTGTAGCTGAAACTCTTGCCACACACGTCGCACTCGAAGAGCCGCTGCCCGGTGTGGACGCGCTGGTGCGCCTGCAGGTAGGAGTTGTAGCTGAAGCCCTTGTCGCACTTGTCGCACTGGTAGGGCTTCTGGGCCGCATGCGCCTTCTGGTGGCTGCTGAGGTGGGAGCTGCAGGCGAAGCCCTTGCCGCACTGGCCGCAGCTGTAGGGCCTCTCCCCGGGGTGCGCGTGCTGGTGCTTGTGCAAGGCCGACCTGGCATAGAAGCCCTTGCCGCACTCGCCGCACGCGTAGGGCTTCTCGCCCGTGTGCAGCCGCTGGTGCACCTGCAGCACCGAGCTGTAGCTGAAGCCCTTGCCGCACTCGGCGCACTTGTACGGCTTCTCGCCCGTGTGCACCCTCTGATGCACCAGCAGGTTGGAGCTGCGGCCGAAGGCCTTCCCGCACTCCTCGCATGCGTAGGGCTTCCTGCCCGTGTGCACGCCCTGGTGAATGAGGAGTATGGACTGGTACCGGAAGCCCTTGTTGCACACGTCACACCGGTAGGGCATCTCGCCGGCGGGGGCCCGGGGCCGGTGAGGCCCGCGCGTGTTCTGCCTCGGGCCCCCACTCCACTCTGGACTTTTAGAGGCTTTCTCCACCGAGGGAGGCCTTTGGGGTCTCTCAAGGTGGCCAGTGGGCCTCAAGCCCGGACCCAACTCGTTTTTGTGGTTTCTCTCTCTCCAGGGCCCTCTGGGATCAGTGGGAACGCGTGACTCTTCCCTGAAGTCGCTTCCACATTCATTTCTTGTCCGGTCATGCTCTGCGGGGTCAGGGCAATGGTGAAGTACCAGCTTTTTAACGCGGTCCTTTCCACACTGACCGTAATCACAGGGTCTCTCTGTTTCAGGTAACCTGTGGTCATTGTGACGTGCTATCCAGCCGAAGCCGTAACCGTCCCCCTCATGTTTATATATTATATCTTGCCTGTCAAGTTTTTTACACCTTTCTCGACTGTTCCATGGCTCATTCACAAAGGCTTTCACCCAAGAATCTTGAGCGGGTACTGCTCTTACAGCTTTCCATGGTGGAAACACTCGATTTTCTAAACCGATGGGTCCCTGAAGACTGCCCACCAAATTGTCAATGTGTGAACCCCAGGCAGGGACTCCTTCCCACCCTTGGCAGTGAGAAGCGTCTTCTGAGAACTGGAAACTTCTCCCTTGAAGATTTCCTCTATGATCCCGACTCCCAGTTAATTCACCAGCCACCTGTTCCCAGATTTTCCAGCAGGAGACCTCTCTGTAGGAAAGGCCCTTTAATTCTCTTTCTGGAATATACTCCATTTCCTTTGCATTCTTGTCTCCTGTGGGGTGAAAGACAATTCAGAGATGAGGATAAACGCAAGATGGTCAGGGATCTCAAGCCAAGTCAGGCTTTCAGACTCGGACCAGTAATAAGCCGAGAGCAAAATTCACCTATGTGTATCCTAACTACCAGGGCAATTCTTTTATGTCTGGAAAAAAAAGAAGAGGGTCCTGGTAACACCCTTTGAAGCTAAATGTGAACACGATCCTATTAGTAACAAACTATATCTCATCATCTATTTGCCAAGCGAGAAATTCCCAACAGATTTCTGCAGAGAAAATTCACCTCTCCGTGTACGGCTGTCGTTGCTAACAATAACGATAACATCCAACGTTACTGCAACACTCCCCCATGTGCCAATGATCCCCCCCAGAATAACACCGATTCCCCAGACATTCCCCTTACCCACAGACAGCAGGTTCCTGAAGTTCTCCAGCATCACATCTCGGTACAACTTCCTCTGGGAGGGGTCCAGCAGCCCCAGCTCCTCCTCGGTGAAGACCACCGCCACGTCCCTGAAGGTCAATGGCTCCTAAAACGTGAAACACCGTTAACACCAACACCTGCCTGGTGAACAGTCAACTTGGAGTCACTGCGAAGAGTCGCAAGCCAGCAGGAAGCTGCTCCATCTGGCAGGTCAAACCAAGTTTTGTTAATGTCTGATGCTAATAGTGTCCATCGTAACCAACGGATCTTCCATGTTATCCCAAGAGCAAAGCACGGAACCCTAACTACTCTTCGCTCGGGGTAAGCACTTCTGAGGGCAATTCCATGGAACTACCATGCTTCATATGGTTGGTTCATTTAACTTAGGAGAATACCAACTTCTCCTCCACGACGACTGTGCCAACAGTGTAATGTTCGCGTGCATGTGTCTGCACACATCCCCAAATCACCTTCTCCGCCCGAACGACTGGTCTTCACCAACCAGCCCCTCGTCCCTCCCTCCCCCAGCGGCTGGGCAAATCCTGCTCTTTGCTCCCCTAGCCCCCCCACCCCCTCCACACACACGTCTTGCACGGGCCTCCGCGTCCGTGTTGAACAGAAGCAACCGAGGCGTGTTTATGCAACTGTGTCCCCAACCTGCTGAGGCCCTACGAATCACGCTGTGTCATCCCCAGGTATGAACTGAGCCGCAAGGGTTTTTGTGAAGGAGAACTGGAGTGTGAACGCTTTATTAATGCGATACTCTGAGCACTGCAGAAATCACAGTGATTAAAAACCCTGTCCTCGGGGAGCCTAGCTGACTCAGTCAGAAGAGCATGCTACTCTTGATCTCGGGGTTGTGAGTTCGAGCCCCATGCTGGGTGTAGAGATTACCAAATAATAATAATAATAATAAAAACTGAAAAAACCCTGTCCTCAAGGAGTCTATAAATCAAGACACAGGTTAGCAATGGTCTTCGAAATCAGAGTTTGTGATCTCTTCTGTTCCATGCACTGATTTGGCAGTCCGGTAATACTACGGACTCTAACGCAGAACAATGTTGTAAATGCGTAAAATAAAACACAAAGGATTGTTTTAAAGGCTAATTATATGGGAATACAACGTTCAAAAATAATAAAACACAAAGGGTGTGCTTCTTTGTACACATTAAATATCAAGAATGAATCAACTACTGTATTTTTGAAACAGTCACGAGTGTAATACTTTGAAACATCTACATCAACTAAGACTTGGTGTGGCTAAAAACAAAAACAAAAATAAAGCAAAATCAGCAAAGGGAAAAACCCTGTGGGGTGAAGTCTGGAGGAAGCCAGGTGCCAACAGGTGTGCTGCTGTAACCTATCGTAGCCATGACTACAACTACAAACTGAGCCCCTTGGGTCCGGCAAATCTCTGAACATGGGGGTGGTCTCAGGGACCCCTGAACCAGCAGGTGAAGTAACCTGGCTGGGGTCACACAGGCACTTAGAGACAGAGGTCTAGTTCTAGCTGAATACCCAGTCTAGTTCCAGAGCCACTAAGCCTTCACAATTGTCCTGTGAGGGCCAAAATGTGTATCACCAGGGGACCAGTAATGAGTCTATAAAGCAGATGATATTATAGCTTATATTTACAGAAAAATTACTGTAAGGCAGGCTCTAGCCTAACAATGTTCCTTAAAGATTTATTTATTTACCTTTCAGAGAGAGAGAGAGAGAGCGCGCGTGCACAAGCAGAGGGAGCGGGAGGGAGAGGGAAAAGCAGGATCCCCGCTGAGCAGGACACCGGATGCCAGACTCCACCCTAGGACCCCACGATCATGACCTGACCCTAAGGCAGATGCTTCTTGGACTGAGCCATCTAGGCGTCCCTCTAGCCCAAGTATTTGTGTATGACTGACCTCACTTAATCCTCAGAGAACTCATGGAGACTGAGAGCTTTCTGGAGTGTTGGGAATGTTCTCTCGTCTGCTCTATTACCAGTAACTACCCACAAGGTAGTGACTAGTGCCACTGGTGAGAAACCTGGGGTCTCAGAAAGGCAACATTATTCATCAAAGACCATACATCTAAGAAGCAGTGAGTGAGGACTAGACCCAGGCAACCTCGCTTCTCCATGCGGAAACGACTCTGCTATCCTATCGTCCCAATGAGGTCAGAGGGGCCAGACCAGAGGAACCCATCTCCTGATTTTGGAAAAGGAGTGCCACTGAGAGAGCACATTTCCAAGCAGAATCCTTGATTAATCCCAAGACTAGAGGCAGTGTAACGGTGGGGAGAAAGCTTGAGCCAGAGGCAGTCCGTCTGACAATTAATTAAATTGATGTGGACTGCCATTAACTCCCAAATTTTTATACCCAGCCCTGCCGTCTACACTAAGCCTTGCCAACTCCAACTATCACCTGGGTGTCTAAAAGGTATCGTGAAGCAGAAACAGCCCAATCAGAAGTGAGTGTCTCCTCCCAAATAGTCCTCTTCTAACCTCCTTGATGTGGGTAAACACAAGCACCGTCGACCTTCAAGGCATCCTCGATTCTTTCCTTTTCCTTATTTCTTACTCTAATTCATTAAAAAAAAATCTTATTTCAAAGGGGACTTCAAATCTACTTCTCCCTATCATTACTTCCGCCTCTCTAATCCGACTCGTCACTGTCGTTTGCTTAGATGACTGCAGAAACCTGCTCTCAATTCACCTGCCTACGCCCCTCAAGACACTTGAGAGCGATGATCTTGTTTTTAACCTGTCTGCTACCTGTCTCCCCCTTCTAGAACGCCAGCCCCACAAAAGCAGGAGCGTTCTGTTTTGCTCTCGGATACATCACGAGGGCTTAGAATAATGTTTGGCCCACAGTAGGTGTCCAACAAATGTTTACTGAATGAGTAGGGAAAGGAATTAAAAATAACTTCTCAACTTTGAAAGTTCAATGTTCAATATAAGTGGCAAAACAATTCGTAGACATACAAGTAACTCAGCAGACTGGAGCACAGAATGCAGGAACAGTCCCGTTAAAGGAAAGCGAAGTCAACAATGCTTTCCTTCTTCCAAATGTATAATATATACACCTATTAAATACATAAACGTGTACATGAATATACACAAAATATATAAATGATAAAAGCAGTACTTTAGTCAACTTGCATGTGAATGAGAAAGATAATAAACGGCACCGTCATGATTGGCTATCCATCTTGAAGAGAATGAAACTGCAAACCTTACACCACTTACAAAACCAAGTTACAGCCATATTAGAGATTAAAACGTTTTTAATCTAAATAAAAACCCATTTACGTGTCTTTTGGGTTAAGCTTAGAACAGTTAGGCCTTTGGGAGCTAGGTACGGAACGAGATTTTCAAAAGGGAACTAACTAACGACGTGAAAATGTTACACTTCTTTATGGTAAACTCACAATTCGCAAAGTCAGGACTGAAAGAAAGTAACCATTCACACTTTGGATGGGTGAGTTAACAGCCCTACTCTTGAAAGAGCTCCTTTCATTAATTAATGCAAATTGGCAAAAGCCTTTCCTAAGCAATTCGCAAACGAAAAATACAACAGCAGCAAACATAAGGAAGAGCTCATCACACACCAACCACGTGACAAACTGCAAAATACACGGGAAGTCTCAGCGACACAGCCTCCTCCATCAGATTAGCAAAAATGTCTAGTACTGGGAAAGCCTTGGCGGGGGAAATCTTGCCAAAAAATTTTAATCTCAGAGGTGTAAAAATAAATAAATAAGGGGTGCCTGGGTGGCTCAGTAGGTTGGGCCTTTGCCTTCAGTTCAGGTCATGATCTCAGGGTCCTGGGATCGAGCCCCGCATCTGGCTCTCTGCTCGGTGGGGAGCCTGCTTCCCCACCTCTCTCTGCCTGCCTCTCTGCCTACTTGTGATCTCTGTCAAATAAATGAATAAAATCTTTAATAAATAAATAAATAATAATAATAACATAAAATAAAATTAAATTAAAATAAATCACTGCTATGATTATAGGGAAATAAAACCTTAAGAGATGAGCAAACCGGCAGAATGAACATCACTGAAGCCCAAGGCAGTGAATGGAGGCCAGAGCAGCCTCCTGGAATATGATGGAAAATTCCAAAGGCGAGAATAAAAGTGGAAGGATCGGGAAGATCGATCCAGAAGTTACACCTTTAATAACAGGAGCTCCAGTAGGTCCAAATGAATAAAATAATAGTAACAGTAGACATCCAGGCAGAAAAAGAATTAATGCCAGAAGATCACAGGGCAAGGGCAGTAAGGGGTGACTCTTGCAAGTGACACTCGGCCACGATGCTGTCAAGTATAAACACAACAGACCTTAGGGGAAAAACTGCTGAAGTGACTAGTAAGCCAGGACAAACTCCGCTCACCGGAACATGAACGGAGAAGCCATGAGAAAAAGACCAGCCCAAGAATGAACGCCAGCTCTCAAGCTATGAATGATGAATGTCCGGCGGAGGCACTCTGCTGTTTGGGCATACAGGCAACAGACGTTTTCTGACATGGGAATGCTCAGTGTGTGCAGCCTCCACAGGTGTTCTCTGGGGAAAGCAAACTGTGGAGTGACATTAAGGCGACCAAAAGAGAAATCTACATGAAGCCAGTAAGGAAGAAACTGGTAAAAAGGACAAGTGACAATGACCTCTAGACACAGAACTGAGACAAGCTCACTGTGGGAATCAGTGGGGACAGATCAGAAGGTAATGAGAGTACCAACAGTATCACATCAGGAGACGGTGGGAAGTAAAGAAGTGTTTTGTTTTGTTGTTTAAGATTGTTATTTGTTTATTATATAGAGAGAGTGCACAAAAGAGAGCGAGCGAGCAGGGGCAAAGGGAGATGGAGCAGCAGACTCCTGCTGAGCAAGGAGCCCCAGGCGGGACTTGATCCCAAGACCCTGGGATCATGACCTGAGCCGAAGGCAGACGCTTAACTGACTGAGCCACCCAGGCGTCCCCATGAAGTGTTCATTTCCTCAGCCCTCAGAGCAAGAAGTTCATCAATAATATGAAATTAAAACATATTCTAAAAGAGTGACTCAAAGTTTCCAAATTTTCCATGTCTTTCCATAAAAAAAGAAAGCTTTATAAAATAATCTTGCATGTGCTGAAAAAAATATGTACTTAAATTTACAACTGCTTTGATTTCTTTTTCTTTCGACTTAAAGGAAAAGTTAACGCATAAGCATGTATCTACCATGTGCATGTGCGTGCATGAGAAAGAGACAGAAAGTGCAAGCGTGTGCACATCTTTCTACGTCCTGATAGTTTCATCCACTTTATCTCCCTGGACAGCAGCAGAAAATCCACATGAAAACAAACGAAACCGTAATATTCCAGCAATCCAGTATCAATCCAACAAATGACATGGAGTTCACTCCGACATTTTTTGTCTTTCTTTGTTGTTATGAACAACACTGCAATGATCATTGTGCAGACACGTGCTCTGAATTAGAATGAACTCAGAGAGTGGGGAATATTGGAGCAGACGTATGCAGAACTTCCAGAAAGGCTACAAACGCGCCTTGCGATTGCGTGCATGTACCCGTTTCTCCGTCGGGCTCAAAGCGAACGCTGATCTTTCCAATCTTTGGTCATTTGCTTAAAAAAAAAACAAAAAAACCCTACCTTGTTTTAATCTGTACTGCTTTGAGTATTAGAGGTTGATCATCTTTCATATAATTATTGGCTGTTTGTGTTTCTTTTCTTCCTTCCTGAATAAGAATGCTTGCGCATTTGAACCCCTCTTCCGAAAATAAAGATACTGTAATTTATAATTTTGTCATAGACGAAATGTCTTTTCCTCTAATATGCTCTCTTTTAACCTGGTCCATGGGGTACTTTTTGGTAGGGTGTATCATCTGGAGAATATAACATCTGTAAATGAATCAGGGAAAGGTCCCACGGAGAAGAGAAACTCAGGCAGAGAAAGATTCGTTATCTGGAGTCAACTCTCTGCTTCATTTAGGCTCGGGCCCTTAGAGGAAATGCTTATCGACGGGCAGGAACGTGTAGAGCAGAATGGCAAACGACAGCCACGCTGACCTGGGTTCAAATCCAGGATCCCTCGCTCATTTCTTTCTTTCTAACCCTCGATCCCATCACCTCTCTCATGTGGCTACTTCGTGGATACACGCAATGAGCAATGTCATTACTCGCCCAATACATTGTTTTCTCTGTTCCCTTTTACCAACGGAGGGGACATTTTTATGCTCTGACGCCTGGCGTGTCATTTCTGGAGAAGAGATCTCAACCCACCTGAAATTCGGTCTTGTCCTCTCCATCCTGAGAAAGGGCTGAGGCTTGAGAGCGGAGAGCTGTAGGAGGAGAAAGAAGCCATGAGAAGAGGGGGCTCCCGCCTGGGCTCGCGGACCCCAGCAGTGTCTGCCGCTGCACACACTGGATCCTTCTCCTGCACCTCACTCTTCCTCTCTCCATGCCCGGCTCCGATCCTCCCCCACCGCTCACCCTTCCTGAACTCGCACCTCTCTCCCCAGGCCTGGAGGTCCAAGTCTCCATGGTCACCTCTCCTAGGTTTTCCCAGAGTGGTAGTGATTTCATTTCTCCTTTGATCTTCCCAAGCCGGAGAAGCAGAAGATCCAGGCCTCCTTCACTCTTAAGGTTCTCCAAGCTCTGACGAGGAGTGTCGGGATGGCTCCCCGGGCTCAGAGGGAAGGACCTGCCTCCACCTTCACGCTCCACAGCCTGGTTGGTTCCCATGCTCCAGGGACCTGTGGGCTCAAGAAGGGAACTTGACTTTATGCAGGCCTTTCCTCTGGGCCCCAGAGCTCTGGGTCTCCAGTATGGTGCACACCCTCTGGACACCGACTCGGAGGACGCTTACTGAGTCGCTGTATGCAGAGTCCCTGCTCCGGAGAGACTCACGGTCCACAGAGTCAGAAACACTGCAGACGGCTGCAGACAGTCTGAGAGTTTCTGCGGGGAGGGCCTAGCAGCAGAAGTGTCGCAGGGAGACACAGGGCCCTGCGGCAGGGTGCAAATGCCACAGACACGAGACCTGTGTTCTGTGAAGGGGGCTCTGGACTGTGAACGCTTTACTAACGTGATACTCCAAGCACCGCAGAAATAAGGACAATCAAACATCCTGTCCTCGGGGCGCCTGGCTGGCTCAGTCAGAAGGAGTGTGCTACCTCGTTGGGTGCAGAGATTACTAAAATAATAATAATAATGATAATAATAATAAACACCTTAAAAAATCTGGAGGACACTGTTACACACCTCGGTCCTCCCCGTAGGCGGTCCATAGGCGGCCCAGTCTTGCACACTTGCTTCAGAAGGCAGTCCCTCTTGCAGGAGGGCAGTGTGCAAACTGCGGGAGACAGGAAGGCACTGGCTGGGGCAGGCTGTGCAGAGGTCTGGGACTGGATGGTTAAGGGCAAAGTGGAGACGTGAGCTCCACACAGTCCTCAAGGATTCTATAAATCAAGATACAGATTAGCAAAGGTCTTCTAAATCAGTTTGTGATCTTTTCTGTTCTGTCCTGACTTACAGACTCTTACTCAGAAGAACGCTATAAATGTAGAAAATAGAACACACAGGATTATTTTAAAGCCTAATTATACTAGAATACAACGTTCAAAAATAATAAGACACCAGGGTTGTGCTTCTTTTTACACATGGAAATATCAAGAATTAATTAACTACCGTATTTTCAAGATAGTGATGAGCGTAAGTAATATTTTAAAACATCTGCACCAACTATAATATAAAAATATCTATGATTTACATGGATAACAGAGTCACGGATTCTGATTATAACTACTGTGGTTTGTTGCCTGCATTCATAATGAAAGGAAATGTAATTTCTTAGTTCAACGAGTGTTTATTTTTTCCCCACTCAAGTTCATGAACCCTTTACATTACACCCATGGACTGGAGTTCAAAAGCTCTTCTAAGGGAGACCTTCTCCTGCTGCCACCAGATTAAATTAGTCACTCTGGGACCCAGAACCACTTTGTTTAAGTTGCTGGCTTGCCACCTCTAACACAGCTGCCCTGTTAAGATCTCTAAATCATCGGGATACCTGGGCGGGGGGAGCTGTTGGTTAAGCAGCGGGCTCTTGATTTTGGCTCAGGTCACAATCTCAGGGTCCCGGAATCGAGCTCCATCATGGGCTCCGAACTCAGCGGGGGAGTCTGCTTCAAGATTCTGTCTCCCTCTGCCCTGCCTCTCGCTCACACGTGTGCTATCTCTCTCTCTCTGAAATAAATCTTCCAAAGTGGGGGGAGAGAGAGAGAGATCGCTAAATCATCAAGGGAATGGGGCCTTCTTCCTTTATTCATGTTCTCCATTTTGCAAGGGCCGGGCACATTGGGCACGTTTAACAAATTCCATCACCGGGCTTGAGGCAGAGAGAAGACCCAAACTCTTGGAACCAGCCCAAAACCAGTCAGTAGGCAGCACAAACACACGGACCACGAGTTCCCTCCTTTCCCCTCTTTGCCTGACCCACTTCCTCCTGAGACCCAAGCCACAGGGCAGGTTCAGATAAACAGAAAAAAAGCACCCAGAGGGGCCCATTCCAAGATACTCCCTACACTGGATGGCTTCGGGAGCTCACGTCTCCACTTTGCCCTTAACCATCCAGTCCCAGACCTCTGCACAGCCTGCCCCAGCCAGTGCCTTCCTGTCTCCCACAGTTTGCACACTGCCCTCCTGCAAGAGGGACTGCCTTCTGAAGCAAGTGTGCAAGACTGGGCCGCCTATGGACCGCCTACGGGGAGGACCGAGGTGTGTAACAGTGTCCTCCAGACCACTGCCATTGAAACCCAGCCCCTCAGGACCCTCTAGGACGGTGCTCCAGAAACTTAACCTGCTCAAAAATCACCATGACAGCTGGCTGAAACAGACCGCAGAGCCCAGCCCCAAAGATGCTAATTCAGCAGCTCTGCAGTGGAGCCCAAGATTCTGTGTTTCGAGCAAGTTCCTAAGTGAGGCTGATACGGCTCCTCTGGACCCACACTTTACAGAAGCAGTGCTAACACACTCGCGTGTCCTCTGCCTGGCTCGCTTCCAGGGCTTTCCAGTTTACACAGAATTTCCTCGTGGTTCCTGCTCATATCCCCGACCTCCAAAACCCAGGGCTGCCTCGAGCTTCGGTGCATGAAGTCTCTCTCTCTCTCTCTCTACTCATTCCCTTCCTCGCTGAACCCATCCAGCCTTGGGACGTCAAACAGGGTCCATATGCCGATGACTCGAGGCCAAGTCGACACGTCCACTTGGCTGTCTAGAAGGTGTCTCAAAATTAACATGCCCCAAACCAAGCACCAGATTTGTCTTTTCAAATAAGCAAGCCACATGTTTGTTTGGTTTTTTAAAGATTTTATTTATTTATTGACAGAGAGAGATCACAAGTAGGCAGAGAGGCAGGCGGGGGGAGAGGGGGAGCAAGCTCCCCGTCGAGCAGAGAGCCCAATGCGGGGCTAGATCCCAGGACCCTGAGATCATGACCCAAGCCTCAACCCTCGGAGCCATCCAGGTGCCCCAAGCCACATGTTTTGATGTGCTCTTTGATTTTTTTTTCCCTCTTCTTCATACACCACATCCAACCATCAGCAAAAACCTTCAAATGCTAGCCAGAATCCGACCTATTCTCTCACTACTGTAATGGTCCAAACCACCATCATCTCTTGCCTAAACTACTGAAGTTAACTCCTAACTGGTTTCTCTGCTTCTGTTCCTGTCCCCCGACAATCTACTTCCTACACAGCAGCCAGGATGCGCTTTTTTTTTTTTAGGTTTATTTATTTATGTGAGAGAGCGCGCGAGAGTGCATGTGCACAGGGGAAGGGGCAGAGGCAGAGAGAATCTCAAGCAGGCTCTTCACTGAGTGCAGAACTCCGTGCAGGGCCCAACCTCACGACCTTGAGATCATGACCTGAGCTGAAATCAAGAGTCAGACACTCAACCAACTGAGCCACCCAGGCACCCCAGCTAGAATGATCTTTTATTTTTTATTTTTTTTTAAGATTTTTAAAGTTTATTTGACAGAGAGAGATCACAAGTAGGCAGAGAGGCAGGCAGAGAGAGAGGAGGAAGCAGGCTCCCCGCTGAGCAGAGAGCCCGACACGGGGCTCGATCCCAGGACCCTGGGATCATGACCTGAGCTGAAGGCAGAGGCTTTAACCCACTGAGCCACCAGATGCCCCTAGAATGATCTTTTAAAAAGACAAGAAAGGTATGTCACTCCTCTGGCCAAGAACTTCACCTCGCTCAAAACCTTCACCAAAGTCCTATCAATAGCCAAAAGATGCCACACTATCTGACCTCCTAATACCCAATTTCCCATTTATCTTTCCTCTTTCTCATTGGGCTCAGCCACTCTGGCATCCTTACTGTTGTTCACATAGACCAGTCAGTCCTGCCCCCCGCCTTGGGGCCTTCTCTGCTGCTCCCTTTCCCCAGTGAAATGGGCTTCTCACTTCCTTTGGGTCTCTACTTAGCACCTTTTGAGTGAAATCACCACCTGTTCACTGAAGTCATCCCTGATAATCCTACTTACGATTGCAAGTCCCTCTGCCAGCCCTCCCAAAGCATCGTCCTGCTTCATCTTTCCCCATGAAACTTATCACCAAACCTACGATCTGTTTGTCTCATTTACTATCTCTCTGTGCCCATGATAATCGGAGCTCTATGAGGCCTGGGATTTTAGTCTGCTTGGGGCACAAAGTGGGAACCCAACACATACATCAATAGGAAACTGGGACCGAAGTGAACTCAGCCCGCTGATATTTGGATCCTGGGATCTTCGATACTAGCTACAGAGCACAATGGTTTTTGTCTGCCGTGTGTTCGCTTAGTCAGTTAAATGCTAAGGACCACGCTGGGCCGGTTGGGACACAGTGGTGATCGGGGCAGACAAGGACGGCGCTCAAGCAGCTGACATTCTAGCTGGGAAGACCGCACACCTTCAATGGAATACTACCATGTATCAGGTGCTTGGGTTTAAAGAAAGATACCCCTTTACCATATGGGGCTCATCCTGGGCAGAGAAAGATGACTAGTATCACTGGTGATGCGGGCAGTGGGATATAGGGGTAATGGGAATGAGACACTGGCAAGGCAGAAACAACAGGACTAGATGAACGATGACATGCGCAGATGAAAAGGAGAACTGAAACAGGAGTCTGGAACTGAAGTTTAAGGAAAATGGGTAAATGATGGTGTTTCAATCCAGACAGCAAGACGGGAGAGGCAGGGCTGGGAAGCTGCAGGTCTTGACTCTGGATACTAGAGTTGTGGCCTGGGGGTAAGTTCCGGCTCAGCCACTCTGTAGCCACGTGAACACTTGAAGAGACAAATTGCTAAAGGAGTCTGTTCCTCTGCCATGAAGACGGTACTTCTTACTTGCAGAGTTGGAAGAACTGAGTCTTTCTCGCACGCATACATGTGGATATGCATTTGAATAAAGCTCATAGGCTCGTACGTGGCACCTAGAAAATCCTCAGCCTACTGCTTTCATCACCATTACTCATTCATCCTAGCACTAACCTAGGAATACAGGCACCCATCTGTTTAACGAAGACACATGTGGTGTCTCATTATATCTCGGTGCTGTAACAAACATTCCGGACACTGAGGCAAATAAGATGGACAAGGCACTTGTTCCTGGTGGGTAAACCAATCTACAAATAAAGTGATTTCTGAGTATAAAAAGGGCAATGAAGAAAATAAGACCGACTGTTTACGAACCAGAACATGGGGGCTCTGGGACAGAACACAGGAGGCAGGTGTGGGAGGGACAGCATTAATCAGGTTGTCGAGGATGGTCTCTAAGGCCGGTGTGAAAATAAATCAGCTGCGGGAAGATTTGGGATGGGAAAAGTACAGAGGGAGGGGCAGGTGCAAAGGCCCTGACTTCCGCTTACAACACCTCAGCATAACTGGTATAAAATAAACACTTAATTAATGCCTAACATTACAGTTACTATAATTATTTTTTCCCTGTACCTAGCACAGCCCTGAAGTAGTGTAAGCCTGAATGATTTACTAACCAAATGGACAAGTATTAGAAGCCAGGGAGAGTGTACACTAAATCAAGACACCGGGAATTGCCCCAGCTGTAGAAAAAACCCACTTCTGGGGGGAAGGCAGCCATGCTGAGGGGCCTGAATGGGCATTTGTCAAGACCACGGTATGAAGAGTGAGGTCAGGAGAGCAGGCTCTTGTTTGGGAAGAGAAGTGGCATTGCCATAAAACAACAAGAAACCGAAATTCTTCTCCCCTGAAGCTCTAATGTTAAGAGACCAGAGGTTATTCATTTCTCTTACACACAGTTCTCTCTGAGAAAGGAACAGTCCCAAGAAGGCAAAGCCATAAATAAAAATGAGCCAGGAGGGGCACCTGGGTGGCTCAGTGGTTAAGCCTCTGCCTTCAGCTCAGGTCATGATCTCGGGGTCCTGGGATTGAGCCCCACATCGGGCTCTCAGCTCAGCGGGGAGCCTCCTAACACCCCTCTCTCTGCCTGCCTCTCTGCCTACTTGTGATCTTTCTCTCTCTGTCAAATAAATAAACAAAATCTTAAAAAAAAAAAAAGATCCAGGGGATAACAATGATTTTATCACTCTTCCAACCACACACCATGGACAAATCTCTGAGCCCAAGTTGAATGGAATCTAGCCTTCCTGCAATCTACTCCTACTTCCAGGAAGGGGACCTCTCTCCCTACAGGGCTCAGAGAGAGGGTCCACACCATTCCTGCCATGGGCCTTGTCTACAATCCTGAATTCACTGTAGCTCCCAGGAGATAATCAGATGGCCAACAGACACGTGAAAAGATGCCCAACATCACTCATCATCAGGAAAATGCAAATCAAAACCACAGTGAGATATCACCTTAAACCCGTGGGAATGGCTAGACTCAAAAAGACAAGAAGTAACAAGTGTCGGTGAAGATGTGGAGGAAAAGGAATCGCAGTAATACAGACTGGCGCAGCCATTGTGGAAAGAGAGCAGTAGGGAGGGTCCTCAAAGAATTAAAAATAGAACTACCATATGATCCAGCAATTGCACTACTGGTGCCCCGACAGCCTAAATATATACCTAAAGATATACCATGTTCATTCAATTAAAGACTCAAGGTTGTGGGGCGCCTGGGTGGCTCAGTGAGTCGAGCCTCTGCCTTCAGCTCAGGTTGTGATCTCGGAGTCCTGGGTCGTGATCTCGGGGTCCTGGGATCAAGCCCCACATTGGGCTCTCTGCTCAGCAGGGAGCCTGTGTCCCCCTCTCTCTCTCTGCCTGCTTCTATGCCTACTTGTGATCTCTCTCTCTCTCTGTCAAATAAATAAATAAAATCTTAAAAAAAAAAAGACTCAAGGTTGTTATCTGATCTTTCCAATGCAACCTCCATCAAAATCTCAATAAAATATCAATCTTTTTGCAAAATCTGACACACCAATACTAAAATATATGTTGAAATAATAATTTAAAAAAAACTATAATAGTCAAAACAATCCTATTCAAAGAAAATTTTGGGCAAAATTTGGACTCATTCCTTCTGACTTTAAGATTTATTCTAAAGCTACAGTAATCAAGAAATAGTGATATTACAACAATGGAGAAAAAGATCAATGAGAAGAGTCTTTACGACCTATGGAGTTGGAACAACTGTTAAATTCTTATATACCCCACCTTAAATCATACACAAAAATTCATGCAATACGATTAAAGATCTACTATTAAAAAAATATTTGAATTGAATTCACACAACATCGTAATGTTGTGTGACAGAGTGGAATTCAACCCGTGTGCCTCAGACGCTGCAATCAAACAGACCTAGCACCACCACATCAGCAAAATATTCGCTTAAAACTTGTACGGCGCTTAATAATTCTCAAGGGAACACATACAGAACATGAGAAATCAACTTCTGCCGCTCCTTATGGAAATGACTTCACAGAAAAGTCCGAAAATTCGTACAGAAGTGGGTGTGCTGCTACCGTGAAAGAATTCCAGATAACATCAATCTGAGACTGCCTGCATTGGAGTCTCCCAAACCAAGCGATGCCCGTCTCAAAGCCACAACTGCTGACTTGGAGCTGCTGCTTCCAAAGCTGGGGGTGCCCAGCGCAGCTGCCCGAGCCCCGCCCCACTCCATCCCAACCCGGGATGCCCAGGGCATCCGCCTCCTCAAACCTCTCCTTCGCCAGGCAGAGCTGTCGAAATCCCCTGGCTCTGACCTCCGCCACACGCCCCCTCCCCCTAGTTCCTAAACACCCGGCCCCTGTCCCTGCGGCCGGAACCAAGACCTCCAAGAAGCCCCACGTCCCATAACCTACTCACCATCGCAGAAGAAATTATGGCACTGCTGCGGTGGCCGGAAGCGGAAGTGGGCAACTCGGGAGGGCCAGGACTACACTTCCCAGAGCCCTCTGCGGCTCACGGTATTATTTAGAGTCCAGACCTTGACGTAAAAAGCGTACACCTGAAGCCCCGCCCAAGGCCAGGTGATAGGCGGAGTACCCAGCAGGTGTGTCCTGGTCTGTGGGAGGACCCACGATGTTCTGGCTCTCAGCTTGGGAGCACCACTATACCTTTTTCTCTCTTTCCTTAAAAAAAAGTTATTACTCGCAGCTAACATGTTCACATTGTGTCCACGTGAAAATCTGACACTACTCTCCAGCAGATGAATCCATAATGCCATCACCAGGGGACATAAAACAATGATGTTTTGGTATACATTTTATATGTATGTAATATACATTTTAACTATATATATTTCAATTCCAAAAACACTGCATGATCAACGTTAAGAAAAGAATGTAAAATGAAAAAAAAAAGGAGGAAAAGTAAGAAAAAGAACTAAAAGTCCTCTGTAATCCTCGCACCCATAAACAAGCATCATTAATATCTTGGTCTATGAATTTCCATATTTACTCTTTGAGTAAATATATATATATAAAAAGTTTTGTCCCCACAAAATTGGCATCATCAATTTTAGAGCCGTTTCTGCCTCCCACTTCACGTATCATGGGTAGCTTTCTATGTCACTAAATAATAAATTCATTTTAAGTGCTTGCTTAGGACTCTTTAGTTTTAGATCTGTTACCCCTAGTCCACCAACGAAGTTAGACTTCCAGTCTCAGCGTGTTAAAACTAAGGAATAACTATTTTCTTTAATTTCTTCCAATCTGATAGCCCAGACTTATTGATTGCATTTCTTTGCTCATGGAGATGTTGAATAAGTGTCAATATGTCAGTGGTGGGTAAACTGCCTTCTTATATCCTTTACCCATTTTTATCTTTTGTTTGTAAGTTCTCCTTGCATACAGATGGTATTCGCTCTGTCCTGTATGATGATTTTTTCTTACAGTTTGGACTTTTTTTTTTTTAAAGGATTTTATTTACTTGACAGAGAGAGAAACAGTGAGAGTGGGAATACAAGCAAGAGGAGTGGGAGAGGGAGAAGCAGGCTTCCCGCTGAGCAGGGAGCCGGACTTGGGGCTAGATCCTAGGACCCTGGGACCATGACCTGAGCCCAAGGCAGACACTTAACGACTGAGCCACCCAGGCGCCCCTACAGTTTGGACTTTTATAAAGACGTTTTTAAAAACTACCAAATCTTTATTTGATCAAATTGATCAGTTCTCGGGGCACCTGGGTGGCTCAGCGGGTTAAAGACTCTGCTGAAGATTCTGCCTTCGGCTCGTGTCGTGGTCCCAGGGTCATGGGATAGAGCCCCGAATCAGGCTCCCTGCTTGGCGGGGAGCCTGCTTCCCCCTCTCTCTCTCTGCCTGCCTCTCTGCCTGCTTGTGATCTCTGTCTGTCAAATAAATAAATAAAATCTTTAAAAAATAAAAAAAAAGTTGATCAGTCCTTTCATTTTGGATTCTGTATTTTTCCATATGATTATAAAGACTTCCTTCCCTAATATCCAGTAAGTACACATCTATATTCATTTCTGTTCTAAAAATGTACCTGAGATTCATTTTAATCAGGCATGGTAAGACACACCAATATGGAAATGATAGTCATGAAGAAAGAATTTTATACTCACAGATCCCTAGAAACAGAAGGTATTGCACACCATGCAGGGCCTCAAAGAAAAGGACAATGGTTGATCAGGAGACAGAAGAAGAGGAGAGAACATGGTCCAGAGCCTTTACTGGGTTTTCAAGGGAAGGAATGGGTCAATCAGGGAAAATATGATGAGTAGGTTTAGGACTGGATAATTTATTTTTATTTATTTACTTTTATTTATTTGACAGAGAGACACAGTGAGAGAGGGAACACAAGCAGGGGGAGTGGGAGAGGGAGAAGCAGGCTTCCCGAGGAGCAGAGAGCCCGATACGGGGCTTGATCCCAGGACTCTGGGATCATGACCTGAGCTGAAGGCAGATGCTCAAGGACTGAGCCACCCAGGCGCTCCAGGATTGGATAATTTAAATAATTCTGGTGCGCTCTGGGCTATAGGCATAGTCCATGGGTGTCCAGTACCTGCTCCTGGGTTGATTTAGGACAGTGGAATACTGCCTTGGTATATGAGTTTGATAAAGGATATGGTTGGGGTGTGGGCTCTAGATTGTTGTTGTTGTTTTTTTTTTTTTTTTGTAAATCAAAGACACTCTCATAAAGTAGACTGTAATTTATGAATTAGCTAGCTCTGGGAGGGAGCAGTCTCTCTGGGATCAAGGCCTCAAATGCCAGAACACTGAAATACAGAAAGTAAGAAGATATAGTCAACTCAACTTTCAGGGATTTTATTGTTCTATTTTATTCCTCTGTGATTTATTTCAGTATAAGGTGTGAAGGAGAGACCTACTTTTCTTTTTCACCAAATAGCTGTCAAGTTTTCTCAGCAAAATTGACTGAAAAATTCATGGTTTCTCTACGGATCTAAAATGTCACCTTACTCATTTACTGCATTATTGTATACTTACATATTTTCTGGGATACAATTGTTCTAATGATAGAGATGTCTTTCTGTGCCAGGATAAAATCTTCCAATTAGAGTTATTACTATCTTGTAACATATTTCTTTATCTCTCCCTCTGTATTCTATTTTTAAAAAAATTAAATCCTAGAGGCGTGCCCAGGTGGCTCAGTGGGTTAAGCCTCTGCCTTTGGCTCAGGTCATGATCTCAGGGTCCTGAGACTGAGCCCTGCATCGGGCTCTCTGCTTGGCAGAGCACCTGCTTTCCCCCCCCCCACCTTTCTACCTACTTGTGATCTCTCTCTCTGTGTCAAATAAATAAATAAAAATCTTCTAAAAAAATAAATCCTAGAAATTCTAGCACTCTTTTCCAGATGAACTACTGAATTCTCTTGACAAATTCTCAAGACTTGTCAAGGATTCCTGTTGCTTAGAAAAATAACCCAATCCCAGCATTACACAGCTCCAGGCATGTGGTCACAAACCCACCCTCTTTGCTTGAGTGTGAACAGTTTCAGTTCCCAGCCCAAGTCCTGCCATTTTTACAACTCTCTTTCTTTGTTGATGTTAATCACTCTGAAATGTCCATCCCCTCCTTCACTTTTGAAACCTTACCCAATTTTTAAGACTCAATTGAATATCCACTTCCTCCATGGAAACTGTAAGAGTTCTATGACAAATGAGCAGATCAGCCTCTGGCTCAGGAGACTTTCAGGGGAGTACAGTTAAGGAGATCTCAGTTTTGGAACTTTCTCATTTCCCTGGGAAAGCAATAGACTGGAGTGTTTTTACCTGCAGTACTAAGGAAGAGTCTCTATAAGAGGAGGGCAGATGAATTTGTCCCAAGGCTCTAGATAAAGTCCCAACCTGCACCTCAAGTTTACCTGTCGTGACGATCTCGAGCTAAATATGAAGTCGGGTAGTATCACTTGAGGGTACATAGTGATAAGCAGAAATCAAGTAAGTAGAAAACAGAAAACCAATGAAACCAAAAGACAGTTTTCTGAAAGCATCAATAAAATTGATAAACCAAGAATAAAGAGAAGACATGATCAAAATCAGAAATGAAAGAGAGGATATCACAACTGTCAATCAGAAAAAACTTAAAAGAGTTACAAAAGGACATTATGAATAATTTTGTGCCATCAAATTAGACTACGGAAGTGAAATGAATAAAATCCTAGTAGGGCATCAATGATCAAAAATGACTCAAGAAGAAATGGAAAAATCTGACTAGACTTATAACAAGTTAATACGTTGAATTAGTAATTAAAAATCTGTCTACAAAGAAAAGCCCAAGCCCAAGCTGTTTTGTTGGTAAATTCTATGAAGTATTTAAGGAAGTGAAAATAATAAACATACACAAAACTCCCCAGTTCAATCTATGAGGCCAGTATTACCCTGATTTCAAAGTCAAACAAAGATATCATGATGAACAAAATTAAAGACCATTATTCCTCATGAACAAAGACATAAAAATCCTTGACAAAATATTAGCAAACTGAACTCCCCCATGACCAACTGGGATTTATTTATTTTTATTTATTTTTTTTTTAAAGTAAGATAAAGCTTCTTTTTTTTTTTTTAAGATTTTATTTATTTATTTGACAGAGAGATCACAAGCAGGCAGAGAGGCAGGCAGAGAGAGGAGGAAGCAGGCTCCCTGCTGAGCAGAGAGCCCCATGCGGGGCTCGATCCCAGGACTCCGAGATCATGACCTGAGCCGAAGGCAGCGGCTTAACCCACTGAGCCACCCAGGCGCCCCACCAACTGGGATTTATACCGGGAAGGCAAAGTTGGTTTAACATCCAAAAACCAAAGCATATAACACATCAGATCAATATAATAAAGGACCTAAAAAAATGATCATCTCAGTAAGGTGTAGGAAAAACACTTGAGAAATGCATGTTCATGACAAAGACAAAAGCCTTTAACAAAATAGGGATACGAAGGAACTTCCTTGACTTGATAACAAAATCTACATCTAACAGATCAACTGAGACTAGAACTAAACCCTTTTGCTTATTACTGATTTTCAACAAAGATACTAAGGTTTGCTTAGAGTAGCCATAAATCCAAACACTGCAAATACTCAGTGTCTCTAGATAGTGTTAAGGTTTTGGGCAAGGAGTTTGGGCAACCACTTTTCTAATATAATAGAACTAAAAACAGACTTTTAAAGCTTTTCTGTATCTTAGACACAACTTACATTGTCTTTGATTGTCCGCCGCCAGGCCTCTCTTGCTCCACCACACTAGAGGAGAGAGGGGAATTGTTGTCTGTGTTTGTTCACCTAAATGCCCAATTTTCACTCTCCCTGAATTGTGGGGTTTTAGGTCCCAGTGCATTAGTGACCATTCTCATGATCAGCTGAGATTATCCTGAATGCAGGAGGGTCTGAATCTAATATTTTCCAGATATTGTATCTGTCCCTCTGTGTAA